TCTTCTGTATTGTGTTCCACTGACGTCACAGATTATATATTGACATAGTATATATTAATGCTGTTAGTAACAATTCTCAATTTAGACAGATTAAAATTGCTGGATTTACCATTTCTATGAACCGTTTGAGAGTTAATGAAATGGTGATAATTGGAAAAACATGGTCAAGTTTTCTTTATTACGTCTGTGTGAAATTGGGAACAGCTAGTTTTAAACAGATGATTATGATAATATATGTATAGGTGCAGTCAGCTGCGTTAACGGTATGCACGGGTAGAGCACCAGTAGAGGATGATTGGATGGGTATAAAGTCGGGTCAGTTACTACATCGTGGTGAATCAATAGAGCAAAGCGGTACTTCACCGAGGTCCAGAGACTTCTCTCATATAAGTCAAAGGCTCGCCCGCACAGGGAGTACTACTTTAGGCAGGAGCATCTGGATACCAGCTCGGCCCTTTTGACTCGGTTCAGAGACGTGCTATGAGATTTGTCAATGATCCCGATCTCTGTAGTGGTATCGAACCACTTAGTTTGATGCGAGACTTCGCTACGCTTTGTGTGTTCTGAATATACAACGGACTGTGTTCTAAGGAATGATGCGATACGATGCCTACGGCAACCTTTTTGCTATGGCACCGCTTGCCGTCGACAGGGAATTCATCCCCACATACTAAAACCTAAGTGGTCTCGGACACTGCGGTTTCAAAGGAGTTTCCTCCTGCGTACACTTAGATTGTGTAATGAACTACCTGTCGAGGTTTTCTCATGAGACAGCATGGAGTTTTTCAAAAAGGTATATCCTTCTTGAAAAACCCCATGCTGCCTCATTTAAGGTTTCTAAAAGTTCGGCAACGCACACTTGACACCCCTGGTATCTCAGGACAACCATTTACTATCAGATGGGTCCTATGCTAGTTAACCACACGTAGTATAACAAAAAAAAACAACCATAATTAAAAAAACCCTTCATCCCCTTATAAAAGGTGTAAATAAATATAACAGCTTGATACCATACTTATATGTACAATAACTTACCGACACACTAAGTAACTTCGTCTAGTCACGTTTCAGGCATACCTTATTACTGTGATCATTGAACGTGAACGCTGATAAAAAACAAGGCCAGACCAGACCTTTAAAATATTCATAATGATTTATCACCAAGAATTGAACCCTTACAACCGACATAGACAAAGATAGACTCTTAATTTTTTTATGTAATTGAAGTAACAAACAAGCTAATGGCAGAATTGATGCCAAATGATAAACTCTGATGGTAATAGATATATATACATATGTTACGGAAGGACTGTATTAAGGCTGTTTAAAAGGAGACCCGTTCCTAGGTGAGGTAAAATAAGTGTAATCAGCTCGCTAGCAAAAATATAAAGACAATACGGCATAAGAAAACAAACAGTATATAAAAACAGAACGTAAATTGCACACAAGCACATGGGACATTACGTTATAATGGTATCACTCATGCAGTGTTATTCGGGAAGACTAAGATGTCATACCTAATATCCTGTAATATCACATCTTATGTACTCAGAAATAATTATGATTGTTTGTATTACACTGGATGTTCTTCTATGTATACGAGTATATTATGTTTGTATTTTAAAAGTACCTAAGTATTTATATAATGTCCATAACACAAGCAATGCTTAGCTTGGGCCTAGATAACAGAGCTATCTATAGCTATATAGTGTAATATATTCGTATACATAGAAAAACACCCAGACCAATAAAAACATACTCATGAATACAAATGTTTGTACTGTGCGAAGAATCGAAGTAAAGGGGTAAGCTAAACAGCTAGATCACCGAGTCGAGACAATGTATATCAAATTTACCAGAGATAATTAATAAAATTATAATTTAATTCTACTAGAAATAATAATAGAATGTCAGTTCCTAACATAAATTTATAATATGTATGTACTATAGTTCATGTAAGTGTATCTAGTTTATTACATATATAATTATTATTGTTTACATAAATTTTAAATTCATATTATACTTATTATTATTTTCCTTCATCAATATATGTTTGTTATGTTTTTTAGTTTTCTCCTGTATATATATACCTACCCTACCTACTCTACCTGTTCATTTTTCAATCCGTTTCCCTAATATTGCCTTAAAAAGATTGCTTTCAACAACAAGGCCGCCTTATTGTAACTATACATGTCCTTTAACATATTGTTTATGCTTTTTTCTTTACTGTGTATTACAAATAAAGTATATTCTATCGATATATTCTAGATTAGTCTATTGCTGACGGTGAGGTTCTTATCAGGATTCCAGGTACCATTTTTCTGAACACTAATGTGTTATCCGGATATAATTTAACTGCCATACTTCATCCTTCATATACATAAAAAATGATTGAAGATGCTATTCATAAGACTATATTTACCGCTGTCTATCAATGGCCGTAAACTTGTTTTCAATTAAAATTTCATAAAATAAAATTCAAAAAAAAATTAACAGCGATTTTACACATCCAAATGTATCTGTCAAATTTGTAGATAAAAGTTTAAATCAGTAATAAATACTGTTCTCATCTCTGGGTGAGAGTACCACAATATCAGCTACTTCCATTTGACCGCATTCAGAACCAAGCAACTAGAATCTTTGGTAATCAACGTCTTTGTGACAGACTCGACACATTGGCTCTGCGGCGAGATATTGCATCTCTGTGCATTTTCTACCGCATATATCACGAGGAGTATTCTGAGGAATTTTTCGGATTAATACCAGCTGCTGAGTTTCCACCGTACCACCCGCCAAAAACTAAAATACCATCCTGATCATCTGGATGAATGGCGGTCCTCCACAGTGCGGTTTCCTTTTAAAAGGCCGACAACGTACTTGCAATTCTCCTGGTGTTGCGGGTGCTCATGGGCGGCGGTAATCACTTACCATCAGGTGAGCCGCATGCCCGTTAGTAGCCTCTGTTTTAAAAAAAATTGTCTTTGAGGTAGTTAACATGTAATTGGAATGTAAAAATTATGTAATTAATTTAGAAACTATAACGGAGCTAACATGCTCACTATTGTGATCCTAAGTCCGTAAGTAAATAAAGAGAAAAAGAAGTGTGACTGTCGCTAATGTAATATTATATTATCTATGGTCGCTACAGTGTAAATATAGCGAAATACTAATAAATACTTAAATGGAATTAAGTAGGCAAGAAATCTGTACAAATAGTAGGAATTATTCAATAAGTACAAATAAGTTAGTATTGTTAGAACATTTGAATCAATATTGAAACATATTGGTTGACTCTTAATAGATGTAATATTTTTGTTATTGTATTAATAATTGAAATATTAATGGAAAATTTTACTACTAACGTACCATTTACGTTGTACCACCGTACCACAAGTTTACTGCGCGAAGTCTATTCTCGTTTCGAGTTAGTACATGATTTCCGTACTAGTAAATAAATGTAGGAACTAATTGTTAATAAAAAACCACTTGAATATAATCTATATAAATTCCGGCGTGAAGGAACGAAGTTATGACGTATGTAGTCATGAAGCACTATAGAAGCAAATTATTACTTGCCCAAAAATTTACGTTGATAGGAAAATTATACTAAAAACTACAAAAAATTATATGTACTCCTACATATTATTAAAAATTATATTAATTTTTGCGATTAGTCTTTGTTCTTAGAACATACATGTGCAAGCATAATACAGTCCTTTCCACTGAGCAATATTAGTCAGTTGTCCATTTATTGGGCAATATCATTAGACTATTTGCAGCGAGTTTTTTAAGCTATATATCTATCTCTTAGTTAATCGCATTACTTGTATAAAAGATGCGGCTTCTTAGTAAATATTCATAGGACGTAAATATGATTAGCGCTCTCAAAGAAATCTTTGCATATTTTGCATTATTCAGAATTATCATGACTATTAAAAAATGCGTTTTGTTATTGCTACTACTACCTACAGGTACAATATTTACTACTATAAAATATTGTACCTGTAGGCCGTGAAGCATCTTTGTAACATTTTATATCAATTTATGATACCGGCAGATATTTTAATGACAATTTATCATTTTTCTTATTCACCTTCACCTATTGCCATTTTATTGATTTTCAATGGATCACTTATCGTTTTAAGAATTATTATGTATTATCATTACATAGTATAAAACAAAGTCGCAGTCGCTGTCTGTCCGTCCCTATATAAAAAAAAAATCTTTAAAACTACGCAACGGATTTTCAAGCGGTTTTTTAATAGATAGAGTGATTCAAGAGGGAGGTTTATATGTATAATACATGTATACCCGGGCGAAGCCGGGGCAAGTAGCTGGTAAAATACATTTTTAATGTCGAATCCAGTGTTAATTAAGTAATTATAAAAGGGGATTAGCTGAGCTGAAGTCGTGGACTTCATATTATCCAGTTAAAGTTACAAACTATTTTACTCGAATACCCCAGATATTTCATAACTATTTATCAATAAAAGGTTTTTTGTTTGTAAACCTATTGGATTAAAACAAACACTTAATTTTAAGTGAAATTTAACACAATTCGTTAGTAAAACTACATCCAAATCGGTTAAGCTGTTTCAAAGACTGGAGCTTAGTACTCAGTGACAAAATGTCTAACAATCATTGTTGTATGTTCTATTACGTTGATAATGTTCTCCAAATAAGTTACGAGTTTGGAAGAAAATACTTAAAATTCAAACTATATATGCTGTACTGTAACTTATACCTACTACATATTTAATACACACAAGACAATTAACACAAAAGAAAAAAATAAAGCGGAATATTTTAAACGAGTCAATTTTATGATCGATTAATTTAGATCTCAGTGTGGTGACGGTAAAAGTATGTAATGTGTCAGTCCACCTTTTCATCCATAGGATGTCGTAAGCTCTGGCTAGGATGACAAAGCACTTCACACTAGTGTAATAGAAGAAAAACATTTTTACCAATATTTTGACCATTTATTTTCTCCATTTCAGATGTGGTCGCTTATTTTTTTGGTGGTAGCAGCGAGCAGTGCCTTCGCCGATGATCTTCCCCCATCCTGCAATAGAACTGTATATTGTGACAGTCAACTTTTACATCATGTGCAGCTTCAACGTCTCTTCAAAGATTCCAAGACTTTTGTTGATCTTCAAATGCGCAATGACCAAACCACCACTCTTGCAGCATTTGACGCTCTACTGAACGAAACAAACAATAAACCAACTGCAGAACAGTTAAAATCATTCGTTGATGAATATTTTGATACGACCAGTGAACTTGAAGACTGGACACCTGAAGATTATACGGATAATCCCGTTTTCCTACAAAGCATTCGTGACGAAAAACTGAAGAAATTCGGTAAGGACATCAACGCTGTCTGGCCCATTCTGGGAAGAAAAGTAAAGCCTGAAGTATTTGAGAAGCCCGAACAGTACAGTCTTATTCCGGTTTCACATGGTTTCATAATTCCCGGAGGAAGATTTAAGGAACTATACTATTGGGATACGTATTGGATAATAGAAGGTTTGCTTATAAGTGGTATGCACGATACTGCAAGAGGTGTAATAGAAAATCTAATAGAAATATTAAAGAAGTTAGGGCATATTCCTAATGGAAGCAGATGGTATTACCAAGAGAGGAGTCAACCACCTCTATTAACTGCTATGATGTCACTTTATATTCGAGAGACGCAAGACATAGAGTTCTTGAAGGCTAATGTGGATTCTCTTGAAGAAGAACTGAAATACTGGTTGGACACACAAGTTGTTACGTTTGACAAGGACGGACAATCTTACACATTATTAAGATATTTTGCTCCCAGTCTTGGACCTCGTCCAGAATCTTATTACGAAGATTACACCGATGCACAGCAATTTGATACAGAAGAACGGAGACAAGATTTCTATAACGATTTGAAGAGTGCTGCTGAGAGCGGTTGGGACTTTTCATCTCGTTGGTTTATTGGTCCTAACGGAGAGAGCACTAGCGATTTAAAAACGATTCGCACACGAGATATAATTCCAGTAGATTTAAATTCAATTTTTGCAAATGCTCTTCAAAATGTGGCTTTGTTTAGAGCTATTTTAAAGCATCGACAACACGCTGCACATTGGGCTTATATGGCAAAACAATGGAGAAGTTCCATCGAAAAAGTTTTCTGGAACGAAGAAGATGGTGTGTGGTATGATTATGATATCAGTCACAATCAGCACCGTAAATATTTCTACCCCAGCAACGTCGCGCCGTTATGGATGGGAGCAGTGGACAAACATCTAGTTATGAGGCATGGCCCTCGTGTATTGAAGTACTTGAGTAGTTCACCAGGTTTGAAATTTCCAGGCGGAATACCGGCATCCTTGGCTAATACTGGAGAGCAATGGGATTTCCCGAATGCATGGCCACCACTCGTTAGTATGGTAGTAAATGCTCTGGAAGCTTTAGACACTGATGAGTCTAAAAAGTTAGCATTTTATGTTGCACAAACATGGGTTCGAGCATGCTACAAGGGATTTAATGAAAATGATCAGATGTTCGAGAAGTATGATGTTGAAAGTCCAGGCAAATTTGGTGGAGGTGGTGAATATACTGTACAATTTGGGTTCGGTTGGTCAAATGGTGTTGTTTTAGAGCTTTTGACCAAATACGGTAGAGAATTGACCGCTGCTGATGATACCAATACGCAAGTTTCGCCAATAGACGATTCTAGCGACTCTCCTGATTCACAGGCGCAAGATTCTAGAAGTGACGAACAATAAAATAGTATTTATAAAAATGAAAGCCTGCAAAGATATTCGAATGTTAGTTAACACTCATCATTTAAGACAGATGATTAATTTTGATCACATTCCTCATTAATACAAAAAATTACAACCTATTCTGACAAAGAAAGGGAGCTATAGTTAAAATTTCTATCAAATGAGTAAATTTAGTTTAAATTATTCATCAATTAGTACAATTAGCATAGTGCATTTTTAGTACCTAGTAGTATCTAAGTATAAAGTAGTTAATCTTATTTATTTATTAGATTAGATATATACATTGTATAAGCCAAGCTTCAATATGATTTAATATAAGAAGAAATTAACTATAACTGTATAGCTATCAAAAAAGTCATGTTAATCATAGCAGTTGGTGGATATTTCGAGGTTGTGATTTTTTTGCGCAGTGCCATAAACTAAGATGTCATGCTCGGAAACGAAATGAAATTTATGGTTTATTAAATATCAGTCATCTCTTAAGTCAATCAACATATATGAGTAATAAAGAAAATAAGTACTGACTAATTACATACTTATTACCGTACAAAAACAAACTAATTGTGTACATAATAAGTACAGCAATAACGTAAAATACAAAATAACCAACTTAATCGCATTGTTAAGTACAATTTAAAAACTACTAAGATCTTAATCTTGATATGAGAACAAGAAAAACACCAGCTTTAAAACAGAAAAATCAATTCGTTTAGAAGACTAATCTAAGATAATACATAAAAAAATACAGTTGAATTGAGTACCTCAATACCAAATGAGGATCTGAACAAGGTAGAAAGGTTTCCGAGTGGCGATTATATCGAGAGTAGGAAAACCCTCTTGCCTTCCTGGGGAGTTGAGGGAACAAGAAAATTGGCTTAGAAATATTCCTGTGAATGTATGGCGAAGACGTATACTTTCTGTAGTGAACTATGTGACGTCCAATATTGATAGATATAGTTTTAAAAAATTATAAAAATAATAAAGTATTAAATATAGAAAACAAAAATCAACGAATATGTAATATATCGTATTTTAAGTAATAGGTAATGTCAATTAAATTTTATTTTAAAATTTATCAATATACCTAAATTGTGTTTGTTTCGGCTCTATTTAAAAATCTATAAACTCAAATAATATTCCAGTCAAGCGAATGCAACCGCGAGCACAAGCTAGTAAAATATCAAAACATATAAGTATAAAATATTACATGTATATGTACAATTTTTTAAATAGTTTTCGATTTAAGATACACATTTTATTAATCATTTATACAGAGCATATATAATAAAGAATTACACACTCACAAAAAAAATCAAACATTGTATTCCAACGCGGCACATCGAAGCAGCAGTAATTTAAGATATATATGTTAATTCTACTATTTAATATGTAAAATAAATTAGAGCAGAAGATTAACATTGTATTTATGTAGGCTTTTTTAATTCAATTGCATTTAAGTAAATACCTTTACCTTTAGTACCTTTGTAACTATTTACCATACTTTATACCTATAAAATTAGACTTTAATACTGAATAACCCACTTGTGAGTATTATTGTGACTTACTATATACATGGCAGTGCCTAGTTTAAGTGCCTTAAAAATACACTAAATAAAAGGCTGTGTATTAATTACATTTGTTTCTTTTCTTTGTTGTTTACCGTTCTCTTATTATTTTTGTACGACCATTGATTGGAATAAATGCTTTTTCTATTATAAAATAAAACCGCCCGCTGTAACATTAATTGCGGTTAGTTACCAATAGTAATATCCTTGGACAATTGACATAACAACATTTAGTCCTAAGGTAAGCAGACCTTGTATTATGGGGAGTAGACAACTGATATTAATACTCTTTTTTTGTAAAAACATACATATCAAATTATATAAATATATATACCTATATTGAAAATACCCAAACCGATACAAACAATCATAATCATGAATATAAATGTTAGCACCGTGCAAGAAATGAAACTGGAGACAATCGGAAGTAAAGAGGTTTAAGAAAATTACATTTGTGAATACATGCTTCTGACTTTTAAATTATGTAATTCTTTACAGATTATTTAAATAATACTTAAGCAAATTTGAGTATAACTGTATGTATCCAATAAAATATTGAACTGGTAGATAGGCAAACTATTTGAATTACCGCCTGTTACGGAAGGAAGGACTGTATAAGGACTGGTTAAAAATGAGACACGTTCTTAGGTGAGGTAAAATAGCTGTAATCAGCTCGCTAGCAAAAATATAAAGACAATATGGCATAAGAAAACAAATAGTATATAAAAACAGAACGTCAAAATATAAAATTCAAATATATATAAAAAACATAAAAACTATCAAAAAGGTTGCCATCGGCAACACCGCCATTAACAGTTTCCAACGTATACATATATATATGTATATATATCTTAAGGTAATTGTTTAAATAGACATAAGTAGTTACAAGTAGTTATAAAATAAATATTATCATAGTAAGCAACTCAGCTATGATAATATTTATTTGATAATATGCTTTGTTATATTGAATAAAAAATAAAGGGTAAAATTAAAAGTAAGTAATAAGTTGAAATTAAAAGAGCAACACGCAAATTTCTTTCTCGTTTTCAACCTTTCCGAATGAGCGGTAGATAAAAATAAATGTTATGACTGTTCAAAAGTGCTTCAATGTAAGTTTATTTGAATAAATAATTTTCTATTCTATTCTATTCTATTCTGTTAAGTTGATTAATATTAAAGTATAACAGCGTTGAAATTATTAGGAAGGAATACTATGTGATGTTTACTGTGTGAGGATGGTTACCGTAATTAAATTGAATTTTCTAGACAAACGAACGGATGTAGGATGAAATAGGTATATTTAACTATATTTAAAGTGTTGTATGCACGCTAGAGTATTTATTTGCTTGTGATGCAAATTATATGTATCAAAGCATTAGGTACAATGTTGTTTTTCGTAATTTAATTATACGTAGTTGTAAAATAGAATGAGGTATCTAAGGGCATTTACTTGTCGCGTAATAATCTGTGTTTTGTGTACATTACTTGAAGATAGTGTCGCCACCATAGACAATTCCGTTCATTAGTAACACAGCGTTGACAGCTTTAAAAAATGTATTCTCTATGGCCAGTTTTATCTTCGAGTTCATGGAGAGAGCACGTGCGGTTTGTTTATTTTCGGAAATTATGTTAGTCGTCAATGTTATAAGGTCGGGGCATTGAAAGGGAACGTGCGCGCGCAACTCTGTTGCATCGAGAGTGAAAGCAGAGCATGTCATTCATCTATTTCGGCTTCTCGTCAATTGCATCAATGAGGATGTCAATTAGAGGAAACGCAGCGGGGCGCGATAGATAACATTAATGATTATTATTATTTAAAACGTAATGGCTCTGCATAACAGTATTTACAGACCGTATTCGCAGCCATTAGTCTCGCGGTGCCGGTCATCGCATCACGACAGCTCGGATAAAGGCAAAGGTTATGTTTATCATTGCGCGCGTTCGTAGCCAACCGTTCTAATTAGCAAGAAATCTGAATGTAAAAAAATGCTGAAGTTACAACGGTTATCCTTTTATCCTGTTTTGGGCCTGCTGGGAGCGTATGTGCATGCAATTACCAAAGTAGCAATCTGCAATTCTTCTATATACTGTTCCGGTGACCTTCTTCATAAAGTACAGCTGGCAAGGATCTATCCTGATTCTAAAACCTTTGTGGATCTAAAACTTGTGCATTCAGAAAATGATACGTTAGTCAATTTTGCTACGCTAATGAATAATACAAATAACAATCCATCAAGAGAAGCACTTGTCCAGTTCGTGCTTAAGTATTTTATTGATGGCAACGAACTATCACATTGGAGCCCACCTGACTTTGATGCTAATCCACCAATTCTTGGACAAATTACAGATCCAAAATTGAAACAGTTTGCTAAAGATGTGATCGCTATATGGGCTCGTTTGGGTCGAAAAGTCAATCCAGATGTAATCGATCGTCTCGGGCGAACCAGCCTTATGTATGTGCCAAATGGATTTATTGTACCTGGAGGACGATTTAAGGAATTATATTATTGGGACTCATATTGGATGGTACGAGGCCTTCTCATAAGCAACATGACTGAAACAGCGAAAGGTATGATTGAAAATCTTTTGTACTTAGTGGAGAAATTAGGTTACATGCCGAACGGTAGCCGTATCTACTACCTCGGAAGAAGCCATCCGCCACTACTCACTGCAATGGTTGCTAGCTATTTTACAGCGACAGGAGATCTTGCATGGTTAGCGAAGCATATTGCCACCGTTGAAAAGGAATTGCATTACTGGATTAACAATAAAAAAATTGAGATTGAAGTTAAAGGAAAAAAATATTTACTGCTACGATATATTGCTGACAAAAGCACTAAAGGTCCTCGACCGGAATCGTATTATGAAGATTTCACAAATGCTCAATTTTTTCCAAATGAAGACATGCGTGAAGAATTTTATTTACAAATTAAAAGCGCAGCCGAAAGTGGTTGGGATTTTTCATCGCGTTGGTTTATGTCGACCAATAAGAATGTGAACTTAACCAGTATTCATCTTACATCTATACTACCTGTAGATTTAAATTCTATTTTCGCCGGTGCCTTGGAAATTGCGGGTGATTTTAGGAATCATCTAAAAAACCGCCGAGAAGCGGAAAAATGGTGGAGTCTCGCTAAGTACTGGCGAAGTGCGATTGCAAATGTTTTGTGGGACTCAGAAGATGGTGTTTGGTATGACTATGACCTCAAGCACAGTACATTTAGAAAATACTTTTATCCGAGCTGCGCGACACCATTATGGGCTGGTGCTGTTGATGAAGGGCTGGCATCCGAGTATGGAGCCCGTTTGGTAAAATACCTTTCATCTTCAGGAGCAATGGATTTTCCTGGCGGAGTACCAACGTCTATTTCTCATTCAGGTGAACAATGGGACTTTCCTAATGCATGGCCGCCACTCCAAAGCATCATAATCGGTGGTTTGTATAATAGTGGCAATGAACAAGCAATACAAATGGCAAAAGAGCAAGCAACAATTTGGCTACGTGCTAACTACATCGGTTATACGACATGGCAAAAGATGTTCGAGAAGTACAACGCTATGAATCCAGGCCACGAAGGTAGTGGTGGAGAATATAGTGTACAAGATGGATTCGGATGGACCAATGGAATAGTCTTGGAATTATTGCAGCGATATGGTAAAGAGTTAACCATAAACGATGGAACTAATCCTTCTGTACCCCATGTACAACAAGTGTAAAAATAGTTGAATTTAATCGAATTTAAAAATTATACAATTTTTTTAAATATGAACTGGGTACTAATTAGTTATTTTTGTAATTGTAGTATTTATAAATAAGTAATAATTGCTATTTATTGTGTAGTGTAAGTGAAATCGAAAACTTGATGTTTTTGTCAAGTGATAAAATGCAGTGAGAGCTTGAACCTATTTTGTGACATAATAAATTATATTTTCCTATTATTATTTTATTATTTACCAACTGACATCAAAACATATCAATTAATTATATTAGTTGAATAAACGATAAGAGCTAATACAAATTCTTATCATAATATTAGTAAGATTCTATACCTACTTACTATTATTACAAATACTGTTTTTCACGATTGAACGAATCTTAATATTTGTCATAAAGTGAAGATATAACGATGGTATCAGAAGAACATATTTCTTATAAAATTAAGCTACTTATTATAAAATAAGCAGACGAAGTCGTAGGTAACCGTTACTATAATATAATGTTTAAAACTTTGTTTAATTTGACGGCCTCGGTGCACTGCCGTGCTCTCTCCATAGGACACCGCTTTTTTCCGATGATTGCGAGTTAGATGCCTCGCATGGTATAAATATTTGTATTCATGAGTATATCGTTATTCATGTTTGTATCGGTCTTAGTGTTTTCTATGTGTATTATGTATGTATTACTATGTATTTATATAAAAAAATGTATTCACGAGTAGGATTTCTTGTATCTGGGTGTTTTCTATGTATTTACACAAAGAAAATTATACCTAAGTATTTATATCAGTTGTCTAGTACCCATAACACAAGTTCTGTTTACCGTGGGACAATGTGACGCTGTATTAATTGTCCATTTATTAACTAATTTATTAATATTTGCCATGGTAGCTAGGTCGTTGTAGACGAGACACAGTACGACACATGCCGTCATACTTTTTATTTAATTGGAATTGCAAACAAGCTGAATTTATTTTTAATTAAAACGATAAATCATAAACACTTGCGCACGGCCATGAAATATAAATATTCTGTTAGGAAATAAAAGAAAAATATTGCTTGTTTATACAATGTTGTCTCTAAAATTAATTACTCGCTAATCTATGCTGTGACAGGATAAGGTAATAGTGTATTTCATACAATATACCTGCATAGTTTTTTTTTCATTTAATGTTAGACATCGATACCTAAATAATTAACAAAGTGAACAAACTGACTTTTAAAAAAACGAAAAACAGCTGAGTTTCTTTCCAGTTCTTCTCAATTTAATCTATAAACTGAACTTCACGTCCATAAGCGACTAAAATGTCTTTATTTAAGACAGTGGTTTTCATGTGGAATACAGACCTATGGTACTCGCTTTTAATGTATATGAACATATAGCATTGTGTAGGTGAAAGATTTTTTCATACAAACATAAAAAAACACCATTTTATTTATTACTTAGTATAGAATGTTGATTTAGTGTAATATAGGTACATATTTGATGATGTATTATGACATCACCTGTATTTTTTTATTGATGCGTTTGGGCTATTGTCAAGAGCTTAGACCCGCAGCAGTTAGCACTGCAACCTACGTAGATTTATTGTGGTCGCCATTTTCCAGAGTTTGCTACCTAGACCCGCCAGGGACTAGAATTAAAGGATATTTTGGAGCGATGGGAGTTTCCAGGAGATATTTCATTTATGCATGAGTGGGCTACTATAGGAAACGTATAGGAAAGGCCACTACACACTAAGTGTGTAGTGGCGTTTTCTCGTCAGCTGGGCAAACTGCCTGAATAAACTCTCCAATATAATATGTGCAGCGCTAAACGTATTTTAGCTACTTTTTAATTATTAGCAGTTTTTTTATCATGACTTTTTAAGTATTTAGCTAAGTATCTGCATTAAACACGCATAACGACCGTCTGCAAGGTTACCGAAGGCCATTGTGTGACACCGGTGAACTTATGACAGAATTAATTAATAAAATTAAACACTGATTGTTTATTTTTAGACAAAAATAGATGTAAATAGATATACTTGTGTTGTTAATAAATAAATAGTTAAGAAAAGTTAAGTAGCTACTTTAAACTATATTATACCCGTGACTACGTCCGTAATATGTATCATTTTATACAATTTAGTTAGAAATGAGCGTAATTAATGATATACTAATATTAGAAATGTTAATGTTATATCTGTATGTTTGTTGCCTTTTCAAAAACTAAAAGGCTGAACGAAAACTGATTTTAATGAAGGTTGTAATATCTATACTTAATGTGTATCACGAGAACGAACTTATCTTTTATCTCAAAAAATGCAGTCGGACTTGCGGGTCAGAGCTAGTATTCAGTATAACACGAAGTCGCTGACCGCGCGGTCTATAACGTATGATTATGTATTAAACTGTATTGCGTAAGTTGACATTATTTGTAAGTAGGTACTAATATCTGTGATATTGTATTCTATTAGAGAGAGAGAGAGCGTCCTGGCTTAGTGACCACTTCGTTGGTCTAGCGGTTTAGCACACCGGTTTGCTTTCGGTGGTCGCGGGTTCGATTCCTCGCACAATGCAGACAGTTGTACTCATTAGTATATGATTATTCGTATCGGTCCGCTTGTTTTCTGTGTATACTGTGTACGTAATTAAAAAATGTGCATGTTTCTAACAGTTGCTTACCCATAACACAAGCTCTTGTACAAACTTGGGACTGAATGCCACTGGATTAAGTGTCCACTGTGTTTCTATTACTTTTATATTTTATTAGACTCCGTTCGCGAATCTTTATTTTTTTAATAATAATCAGACATAGTAATTACAAGAAATACGAACGATGAAAGTGAGTGCCAGGAACTCCGAGCAGTTTCCCTCTCAGCCAGCCGATGGACTCGGCACCCACACGGCAAATTCATGGAATGCTAAAAATTCATCTTTTCCATTTTTAATTATCTATTTATAGCAACATTTAATTACCTATAGATTAGTTTAAATAGAATTTATTTTAAGAAACAAATGAACTGGTACCTGTTTAATTTGGGAAGTACTCACTGAACAATGTTTAAAAGACAAAATATTTGGTTTAATTCCATTTACTCAACAGAACCTTCGATATTGTCAAACCCACACTCACTGGCTGGTGTCACATACGGCAATTCCATCTGACAACCGAACTCCGCCTCGTACAAAACCTGTTGTATCTTCAACCTAGCTCCAGCATTCTGTTTAGCATTCAGCCTCTTCAGTATGGGTGCACAACTGAGTAGGAACAACTCGTCAGGGTCTGTCCTATTGCATTGGCACGGGTTCTCTTCGTCGGTGGAGTTGAGGCGAGCCTTTTTAGGAGACGGTGGGGAATCTTCGTCATCTTCAAACTTGTCGTGGAACGAGAGGTCCGGCAGGCTCTGTATGGCGCGTTGCCGCATTTCCTCTTCAGCGTCGGAGTCCTCGTCTTTCTTGTAAGAGCTGGAAGAGAGTAGAAAATATATCCCGATTAATGTTACGCAAAAACTACTGCACGGATTGCGATGAAGCTTTACAGCAATATAGCTTATACATCAGAATAAATCATAGGCTATGATTTAAAAAGATATTATGTTAATTAAGCGAAATATAATGATAAATTTATTTATTCATTCTTTTGCACACAAAATTGTATACATGGCGGACTTTATGCCTGAGGGCATTCTCTATCAGTCAACCGTGGGGTTGATCAGAGATAGTATGGATATATCTCTGATCAACCCGAGATAGAGTAGATGGTATTGAGATAAATGTAAGGTACGTGTGATGGAGGCGAAATTGTGCGGATCAGCTACTACATTATAAACGCAGAAATTTGTGGTGGTGATTGTGTGTCATCCACACTTTAAACTACTGAATGGATTTTAATGAAACTGTACCTAGACTCCTTGGGTTCTATATGGGGTAACAGGAACCGCATAACCTGGTGGTAAGGCCATCTGGTGCGCCCTCCGTGGGTTCGTCGCAGTTTTATGAAAGAGTCTCGTAGGGAACGCCAGCGTTTCTTGCATTCCGCCTCTGAAATAAACAATGTACCTCTGAAATACAACTTTACGACTGTTATTCGAGATGGGGTAGTCAGAGATACTGTCAAAGTCATGATGAATGTAATACTTAATGGCCTAAATTTCGTTGCTTGTAATGGAATAAAAAAGAGCATAGAACAAGCCTATTGCCGTTGTTCATGATAGTTTGGTTTGATTCAATCATCGGAGAGTCTGATAGAAATATAAATTAACACACAAAGCTTTTTTGGTATTAGGCAGACTCAAACTTATGACTATTAAGGACTGAGGCGGCAGTTAGAGTTGGGGTAGTAAACCGACATTGTCCATTATTATCCAATAATAATTAACATTAACACAAAAATACATCAATCTATCTATATGCAAAATGTTATCAGAATTTGTACAGCCGTATAAAATGTGCAGCGCAGTGTAACAACTGAAATACCTAATTTAAAAAGTAGACAAATAATAGAATGTCTATTACCTGATACGTTGAGTGCGTCTTTTACTTCCTTCCACGCATCATCTCTAAGTTTTGTTTTATTAAATCCACTCACGGACTTATCATACAATATAGGTCGTTTCTCGACCTCTTTTATCAAGTCGATTTCGTTCATTATCAAACTCTTTGGCAGTGACTGTATAATGTAATTGCTTAGCTGCAAAAAAAGGTAGTAACCGTCTTAGATACCGCCCGTGCTTAACGACAGAAACGTATTGATGTTAAAAAAAGTTTTTATAGTAAATATTATTATAAAAAAGTAAACTTTGCGTACTCTTAGGCATTAAAAGAAGTACGAATTTAAAAAAAATATCGAACTGGCTGAATTGATGTACTTATTTAGAATATTTCAAATTTGGAACGTGTATTAAGTACATGGAGTGTGATGTAAACTGAGCAGAGTTAGGGGATTTAGAAGCAGGCAGCGTGGTGGTCGCCGCGCCGGCCGGCCGCGCCGCACGGTACGCGCGCGCCGTACGTATCGAGCGACGCGGTGCGGCAAACGCGTCGGCTTACCAATATAGTAGGGTTGTCACAACACAAATTACTTCTATTTATACGTACATTTAAAAATCACGGGATTTTAGCCCTCAATGAACATTTTAGCGTCGACTTATCTAGGATTGTCAATAACCCAAATTACTTCTATTTATACGTACAATTAGAAAAAATCATGGAATTATAGCTCCCAATGAATATTACCAAAAGAATTTTTGACCGATAATTGGATGGGAGGTTGAAATTGAAATTGATATTTATGTTTCATAATTTTTTTCTTAATAAATTACAATAGTTTTGTAAAATTAAACTACTGCTTACGCTGTAACATAAGTTTTTGTAAGGTCCATGTCTCATTAACTTGTACTGTATTTATTTATTTATTCATGAACAATGTACATTGTATTTGCATGTTGATATGATGGTTGATATATAATAGATTGATAAAATTAATAAATTTACATATTGTCATAAGAATGTCATTAATAAAACATAATAAATAAAATATGCCATTAATAGCCAAAATCGTTCACAAAAAAATTAACAATAATTATTATTAATCAATTCAATATTGGGTACTCAATAGAAATAAATAAATGCAGTAAGATTCCGTGATTTTTTCTAATTGTACGTACAATTTATATCACAAAACAGTACATTACTTCTAAGTATCGACGGTGTAGGTGGTCTAGCACATAGCACCATTGGAAATAACCAATGGTCGCGGGTTTAATTCCTCGCACGGTACAAAAATATGTATTCATAAGTATAATTGTTTATTTCCGTCTGGATGTTTTATTATATTATGTATGTATTTTCAAAAAAATGTATCTAAATATCAGTTATCTAGTACCCATAACACAAGCTCTGCTTACCTTGGGCCTAGTTTGTACTGTGTGAATTGTTGACGAAAAAAATATAAATGAATTCATGTTTGACTGATTTAGCTTATAGCTAGCTAGGGTTGTCAATAACACAAATTACTATTATTTATAAATGTAAAAGTGAGTTTATATGATAAATTTAGCCGTTGGAATGTATAACGACATAAGCAATATCATGGTTATGGTCCTTCTTGTGAAGAGTTTACGTTCCAAATGAGAGGTAGAATAAAAAAATATAACTATTCGAAAGATTATATTAAAATTATTTGAATAAACATTATTCATTTTAATATATTTTTATAAATATTAATGTATTTTTGATCAAAAATCAAAAATATATCACCTGCATAATATAAGCAAATAATGTTTATTCAAATAAACTTAATATAATGTTTCGATAATTTCTTTTTTTAATTTTAATTTGAGATCATTCGTACTATGGGCCCAACTGAAAATCAGCGTAGGCTTTATGTAATTATTGTTGTGCTTGACACAACACGAGTGAATAAAATTATATTATATTTTGTTTAATTCTGCTACCATTACCATGTTTGAGAACTCTAATATTCAGTACGAAATCCTGACTATCGCTACTGGAAGCATTACGACCTATTCTGTTGATGGTCAAATTTCGACCGTTATTGATACCGCCTATATTGCGACATGTGTATCGCCTCTGATTAAGACATCCTCAAGCTTCGAAGAGAGCTCGGATATAGCTTAGTTTTATTCATGTACATTCGAGAAAAGTAACCTTGTCATTAGGTTGGCTAGTCAGCCACTTCAGTAAAATACAAACCGTAAGTATGCCAGTTATAACAAATCAGTTGAGGATTTAATAAATTTAATTAAAAATAAAACAACGGGTATCAAAATATCATTTTTAATAGCGTATAAACTGTAAATATTGATTTTAATATATTTTATTTCAAATGTCACGATATCAATGTGAATTAGAAGAATACTACATACCAATTAACAATATTAACAATAGTCAACTACTTATTTTAATAGTTATAAAAATAACTATGTATACATAGTCATAAATCTATACTATATAGCCATACTTATATAAATATATACCATACTTATATTGGCACGGGTCCGAATGCTGCGGCTAATGGACCGTGAAGAACTCCGGATGAAACCATACAATTGATTTGTGGTAGACGAAAAATAAAGTTCAATAAAAACTCGTACATAATTATAAAAGTATTGCTGTAAAAATTAATATAAATTCAATAAAATATTATGACTCAGTCTCATTTTCTCACACTGTCTCATTATCTTCTTTTTTATTACCAATCACCTCGTACTTCCTACGGTATATTCGTCTCGTTTTCTTACGACGCACAGTACAACTTTGTCGTAGTCTGTGTCCACGCATGGCGCTAGCGTCGCTGAACCTCATGTTACATTTTTCACAAGCGTATGGTTTGACACCAGTATGAAGTCGAACATGACGCGCCAACGCTGATGGATCGCTGAATTTCATTTTACAGTAGTCACACACAAAAGGCTTTTCCCCTGTATGAATCCTCAGATGAGTCTTAAGATTAGCTTTAGCTAAAAATCTCCTGTCGCAGTAGGAACACACAAAATTTTTGATTCCCGTGTGTGTCTTGAGATGAGTGTACAGTGAAGCCATCTGTGCAAAGTTCTTATTGCAAATTTCACATGGGTACAGTCGTAGCCCCATATGAACGCTGTTGTAATGATCATCTCTACGGAATTTTGAATCAAATGTTTTCTCACATACCAAACATTTGCGATCTTCTTTATTGGTTTGTACGCGTACGCCCTTGGTTTTTAATTTTCTATTACTTCTAGCGAGTTTCCTTTTTACTTCATTACGATTTTCTTTAGGTTTGATACAGAATTCCGAACCGATTCCGGTTTGCTTGGGACCTGTGTAATTTATTGTTCCTTTCCATATGGGCTTCTTTCTTTTTGGGTGCATTATTTCCTTGTGCGCCTGTAAATCTTTTTCGAGATAGTATCCAATACCACATTCACATATATGGGGGAAGGGCTCGTGGACGATCAGGTGTGTTTTCAATGTGGTTTCCTTTACAAATCTCCAACCACACTCTTTACATTCGAAGTGCGTCTTGAGGCCGTTGTTAGCGTTCGGGGTATATTCAGTCCTGGAGAAGAATTAATACGTTATTATTATATATAATGTAAAAATTACACATGGTGCAGATTGAAACTGGTATGTACGGTAAATTAGAGTTTCAATATTATAGTCAGAGAGACGAACTTCATAGCGTTACAAAGATTCACACTACAATACTATTTGAAAAATTCGTTAGGATACAATAATCCAAAATAGTTCATAATAACTTACATAATGGGTTTGACATGTTTCAATTTATGAAACGCATATTCTTTCTGTCTTAAAAAACAACAAGAGCATTTCTTGCATTTAAATATTTTTATGCGTTTTAACATCACTACTGGTTGTGTCTGGAAATTAAATACATAGAGTTATCATTTAACATGTATTCTACATATAGTTAACATTTAATATGGACTCTACATGTAGCCCCACACAAATGAGACCACATAAATCATGAGATTTTTATGGGACAATGTGAAAATATTTACGAGTAAATGAATTACTGTGGGTAATTTTTTTTTATTAATCAATGTATTTTTTACGCATAATTTAATCAAATATCAGCATTATGCACTCTTTATCTATATAATTTATAAGAGTATGAAATGTCATACTCCTTCATCAACGAAATTTTCATAAAAAGGAATTCAAAGTTTTTGCTATACATATTAATATAGTGATAATTCATATTTATTGATAGACTGATTGGTTAGAATTGAAGTAAGTTCATAAGTACACATACTTTATACACTTACATCTCCTATGATTGGTCCACTGTTGTTGTACTTATTAATTTGGTCTTGTAATCTCTTTGGTAAGTCATGTACATTGAGTTTCTCTAGTTTCAAAGTAGGGATCTGGAAGAGTAAATTCATACTTGATTAATTCTCAATCACTTTTGGTATAATCAATTAGCCCTGGAAACAATTTCTGTTCTATTGACATTTTATACACTAGCAATATTAATTCCATATAATTTTATGTATTAAGTACTGGTTTGATATTTTTTTATCAATGATAGTGGACTGGTGCACCAGCCTGCATTATTGGTATATGCTGGTGGATCATCAGTGGAAGATGATGAAGTGAACATGACGTCAGGTCAGTTTAACATCATGACAAATTCATCAGGAAATGATCATGATTAAGATTGGAAGAGTAGATTTACAACTCTGAGTTAACTATATCAGTAAAAGAAACTGTATTGATGCCTATGAATTACTATTAATAAAGACTGTTTATTTTATTAATATCAAAATATATATTTCAAGCAAAACACCAATTATTAAAATGTTTAACACATTTGGAACCTTGAAAAATTTTTTGTTGGGAACCACAAAACTTATCAGTTTCCAGTCAAACCTAATTCAATTGGACAGAATACTTCTGGTTGGCCATCACCAAGCAATATCACAAATGTGTAAATGTAAACCTCACACTTCTGTTGATGCTATTGGACTATAATATGTATAATAAATTTATAAGTGTGTACATTTATAGAGAAATTACCTTCAGGTTAATATTTGCTATGTTTCCATCATTCTCCTGTTCCTCTTTTGTTATTATTTCAGATTCAGATACCTGTTTTATTTCGTCGGGATCCATGACTAGAAAATAAAGAAGAAAGGTGACATTTTGTATTGTTATTTTTATAAAAGTATTGTATGAAGTAATATTGTACATATTTTTGTGATAACAGATATGACAATTTTTTTAGGGATCATCTCACTCTCTCTCATGTCCATAACATAATAATGAATTTGTTTAAATGTTAATTCACAAGGAAGTGTCGAGATAACCAACTGTAAGCTGTGGATTTATTACTAATCTATATTAAAATTATACGGAGAGTATTACATAGTATATAGTAATAGGTAATGATTATAAGAAAATAAACAGTCAATAATAATACACATTATCAGACTAGAAATATCACGTAAGAATTTGTACTCCAGTATTATTCACATTCGTAAGCTTAGGCAATACATACAAATATATTCTGTGGACTTACCTTAACTTTTATATGATCAGTATCAGGCTTAGATTTTATAACTTTACCTTCCCATTTCTAAGTATATATTTAATGTTTTGATTTTGTATTTATAGATTAATGTAATGTAAAATAAAACTACAGGTTACAATCCAAAACAAAGATTAATATAATGGTTATTAAGATACATTATTACATACCGATACAATGCAGTATTTTATTTAAATATTTTTATTTATGTATAACTTAACTGAAGTCATTCAGTGATTCAGTCAATCAACGACAGACAATGACATTTGCAGTGTTGCATTGTCCAATTACCTAAATATCATAAGTGCTGTATAGTGCATAAGCCATAAAGACGGTTACTAGCAAATAAATTGATAGATATTGCATACGTCGTTTAATGGGTTATGAGCCGGCATTGGATAAAATTAGTGGTGCTCGTTTTTTTGTCAAATATAAATGTCATGATCAATGTCATTTAAACATCAAAATAAATAAATATCATCTTCTCAAATCATATGATCCAACAATTTCAACATTATTTGTTTTAATTCGTCTGTATTTATTTATGATAAGAGATATATATGAATATTGTTTGAACTCCTATTAATATCATTGTAAGACGGTAATATTTACAAGTGGTTTCCGAATTTTCTGAGGGAAAAATGACTACTCAAGTAAGTATGAATTTAAAAATTGAAATGCAATTTATGTTTACCGGCACGTATGTAAACCGGTATAGTGAGATGTTGCTTTGTATTATTCATTGTGTTTGCCAAGTTTGCAAATTGCGTTCCTTTTTGCTTTATCCTTTTAACATTTGCACTCGGAACAGAATATTAAAATCGAGAACGGCCGCGGGATCTAATAAAACTCCAGAGTTTCGTCAGGTTTCTATATCCTGCGATTGATCCTTTGTCTTCAAACGGGGATTAAAATCAAAACGCCCTGTGCCGAAGTTCGAACTTTAGGGGCGGTAATAATGGTTATTGCTATGATTATTATAAAGACATGAACATGAATGTATATAATTTTAATAAATACTTTTATATATTATACTTGAGGGTATTTAGAGATATCCAGTCTGGTATTCTGCCCAGTCAGTGAACATGTATGTTCTTCCAAATAGATGTGTAGACAAGTATTTATATGATTTTCAGCTAGAGAATATAATAAATGCATACAGGAGACTGGCCAAGATTCCATCCATTGTGGGAGGAAAACTCAACAGTAAAGGTGATAGAATATATTCGAAATGGTCTGTGAGAAACTTAGACAAAGGCAAATCAACAAAGTACCTCTTGGAATATGTGCTTGATAACAAATTGAAAGTTATCTCTGAATCCACATTTGGTACAGATGTCAGTAATGAGTAAGTTATTTTAAGCTAATAATGTTATGAATGTCAGAGAGTTTTTAGCCTCTTGGTACTTTGCCAATTATCATAAAAGACAGAACTGAAGTAATCCCGTCTCTTAACTACAAGTCCAATATTGTACTCATATTTTTTAAGGTTCATTATATCCATTTTTTTTTACTTGCGTAATGAAGAGTTAATAAATAAAATTCTGCTTACCTGCATACCAGTTCATCTATAGTCTACACCCTCTGCTGCTCATATTCATTTTATAATAAAACATAAGTATACCCATTTATATTGAATATTTTTTAATTTGTATTCAATTTATATTAAAATTTACCTTTGAATAAGCTTGCAATATTCTTATCATAAACCCTATAACCAGTGCTGATATAAGAGGGGTGGGAAAAGTAAAATATTCCAATCAAATGGCATCATGGACATGAACCATCGGGTCACAATGATAATGTAATGTCACTCTTACCTGTAACTTTCACTGTATAAAAAGAACTTCCAACTTTTCAGTCAAATTGAGTTTTAATGTATTTTCAATGGTAAACAAGCTAACAGCTTGCTGGTAGTAAGTGGTAACCATCATCTATAAATATGAATATGACTATGCTCATCACATTATCATGTTTCGAATTTAAAATATAACAGATTACTGTCTGCCGTGTCACCGCGCGATACCTACCGGGCTGTAATACGCGAAGAGAAGGATAAAGACAAGAAACAGTACTTGGAGGTGTGGAGTAAGAGTAACCTGGTGCATTGTGTTGATCTCACAGCACTCGATATTCATGGGGATGTGTATGCTGACTGTAAGTTTCTTACTTATATTGTTAATCCTTAATATGGGGGGAAGGGGATTGTTAGTAATGTGGACTAATGATCCCATTGCTAGCAATGTAGTCAGGTATGTGTGTCTGGTTGACCTCCATGCGGTTCCCCCTGTAAACCATAGTGATAAATTTCTGGTGAATTTGTCACAATGGGCTTCTGACTGATCTGACTTCATGTTCATCCTATTATCCTCCACTGGTGCCCCGCCAGCGTAAACCGGTAGCACAGGCGGGTGCACCATACCATTATCATCCATAAAAAACCACTTTATATGGGGGAAGGGGATTGTCAGTAATGTGTACTATTGACCCTATTGCTAGCAATGTACCAAGTTGGGTTGACCTTCATACGGTTCCGCCTGGAAATCATTGTGGTAAATTCCTGAATATGTCATAATGAGCTAATTGACCTGACCTCATGCTCATCTTATCATCCTCCACTGGTGCCCCTCCAGTGTAAACCGATATCGCAGGCAGGTGCACCATTCCATTATCATCCATAAAAAACCCCATTAATATGAAACCTGTTATGGTAAATAATGGTATTTACCTCTCTCAACATTTTTTGTTGCACTAGCCCTGGTCACTAGCTGTGATCCCAGTTAAGACCCGGTTAATAATATAAATAACGTGTATTAAACATGAAAGTTTAAAAATAACTAAGATTATTACAACAAACAAAATCTTAGAAATACAATTCTGAATTCTGAATTTCATTTATTTAAAAGAACAATGCACAAGTTTTTGTTCATTCTTCTGTAAGTTTGCACACAACACTTATTTTTTTGATAAAAGAGTTTATATATGTTTACAAAAATACAGATTTATTTTTTAATTTAGTTAGAGAGAATGTAGTAACCTGTAGTGCATGGTATGCATTTTTCTCAGTAAGAAAGACTTAATCAGTGGCCATAATCTGAACAGGACTCAAATAGAATTTACTTTTTGCAGTGTCATCTGCTTGCGTATCACTGTCTCATTTATTTCAGCCTGTTAGAGCTTGCTTTGTAAGTTTTAGTTGAAGAGTAGGTTATGGTAATGAAGTCGTAGCGACTTATTCTTCTGGAGTATTGACAGCCCTTGTGGTCTAGCGGTTCAGCACACCGCTGTACTTCCGATGGTCGCGGGTTCGTTTCCTTTCACGGTGCAAACATTTGTATTCAAGAGTGATTTGTTTGTATTCGTCTGGACATTTTCTATGTATGTTATGTATGTATTTACTAAAACATATCAAAGTATTTATATCAGTTGTCTGGGTAAGCAGAGCTTGTGCTATGGGTAATAGCACAAGCTCTGCTTACCCTGGAACTAGATGGCAACGTGTTAATTGTCCATGGTTATTAATATTAATTATTTATTTATCAGTATCTGTATACATATGTTTATTTCAGCTGAATTTGGCAGTTTGAAATGGTCTCAAGATGAGACTGCAATTGTGTATATTGCTGAAAGAAAAGCCCCAAAGTATGAGCCGTTTATTAAGAGGAAAGCTGAGAAGGATACAACCAAACCTGAAGGCAGTGGCGAATCAGCCCCCAAAAAGGTGTGACATATGTATATAGCAATTTTACTAATACTATAAACGTGAAAGTTTTGAGAATGGATGGATGTTTGTTACTCTTTCACGCAAAATCTACTGAACTGATTTTGATGAAACTTTACAGTAATATAGGTTATACATCAGAATAAATCATAGGTTATAAATTAAAAAGGTATTATGTAAATTGGGTGAATTATAATGATAAATTTCAAGTATGTGTGTTGTAGACGTGGTTTCAAGGGTAAGCTAGTAATATATATAGTAATAGATAATATACTGTACTGTATAATTCTTACTACTATACAGTACTTATGTTTTATTTTGTTAGTTAATTTAAAGTATATATTTTGTTTTTTAAAATTGGAATAATTTTAATGGATTGGAAATGTAGTGACTTACTAATAGTCCTATTCGTATGGAATGGTGCACCCGGCTGCGCTGACGGTTTACGCTGGCGAGGCACCAGTGAAGGATGATAGGATGAGTATGAGGTCAGGTCAGTTTGCCCATTGTGACATGTTCACCAAGAATTTATCACGGTGGTTTCCAGAGGGAACCGCTTGGAGGTCAAGCTGACATAGTACATTGCTTGCAATAAAATCATCAGTTCACATTACTAACAGTCCCCTTCCCTATATATGGTAGGTAATTCCCATTTACTTATTATTATTTTTTTTTTTCCAAATATTCTCATCTCTCCTCTTAAGGAGAGGAGATGGCAACATACCCCCGGTAGAAGCAGTCGGCCATGGTTCAGGGCCCTTGATTTATTATTATTATATATATATATATATATTTATTATATTTCCCTTTTTACGGGGGTAATATATTCAAACACGCGGGCCTTAGCCAAGCATGGATGAGTTATGTGATTATTATTATTTACTATTATTACTATTACGGACGGTCACAATGATTGTCGTTCCAATTAGGTAATTTTTTTATAGGGTGAAGAATTTGTATACCGTCAAGATTGGGGTGAACAGTTGGTTGGCAAGTACCTCTCTGCAATAGTGGTGTGTCAACTACAAACTGAAAAATTCACTGTGCTGGAGGGCTTGCCAGAGAGCTGGTGTCCAGGACAGGTAAAGTTTTGCTTAATTTATTTATTTATATAACTTCAATGCACAATATACCAAGGTAAAAGTACATATGGCGGACTTAACGCCTTACGGCATTTTCTACCAGTCAACCACAGGTTGTGCAGAGAAAAATTGTAGGCGGTGCAAATATAATCAATAAATAAACAATAGGTCAAAAAAAATTATACATATACTAAAAGTAAATACATTCACATGCATATACATACACAAATACATATAATATATATCAATCTATAAATAAATATGAAATAGAATATGTAAATCAAATATACCATATACATATACATATAACATAGTCTGACAATTAAAAAGTGAAAACAGAGAGAGAACGTAACAAAATTAATGTAAAAATAATGTTAGCCATCATTATCATTTCAGCCTGTTATTATCCACTGTTGAAATAAGCATTTCCTGATGCTGCACCTTCTATATGTCATGGTCACATAATTTCGGAGAGCATCCGACACTCCGTCGACTCGTACGTGTTCTCCACTCTAACTTTTATGTCCCATCTACTATCACTGTTCGGTTGATATGCCTGGCCCGCTGCCACTTTTGCTAACATACTTTGAGAGATATGTCATCCACTTTGGTCCTCCATCGAAATACTTCGTTTCGGATCATGTCCGTTAGAGTAACTCCAAGCGTAGCTCTCCATCGCCTTAGGCACCAAAATAAAAAATGCTCATAAACTGGCTTTACAAAACAAAAAAAAGAAATTCAGTTGACTTTCTTGCCAGTTCTTCTCATACTATAGACTGACCTAAATGGTAGGGAAAATAATCTTAATACAAAATACTTGACGTTCATAAGTGACTATTTAATTATTTTTATTGAAATATATAAAATAATATATTATACTAAACATGTAAAACATTTGTTTATGTAAAAATTAATGACATTCATCTTTGCCTTGCGTTTATTTCATTGTTAGAGTTCGGCGCAGTATATTGTCTTTGTTTACCGGTCCCTAAAAAAATCTTAGCTGAAAATGAAATTAGAAAAACAAAATTCCATTATTATCATAATGTAGAATACAAAAAGTCTGTAAATACAGATACTTTGATTTTATTCAGATATACAATAACTCTCAAATTATGTACATTTGTTTAAATAAGTACGTAATGGAATAAATTACTGTGATAAAATTTATTACTGTTATACAACGATATTCATTGTTGTCTTATCTATTAGTTCTTAATAAAATATAACCTTGAGACATTTACGTGATGGTGTAGAATGTAGATTTATTTATTTATTGTTTTGAAAATGGAACTCTATTTCACGTTATAAATAAATCTACATTGTATTTTGAGGCCATATGTCGCCGGAGCCAGAAGAAAAAAAAATGTACTTTGAAAATGTAGTAGTTAAAAACAATATATACTATAATAAATATACACTTCTGCTGTATCAATAATACAGCAGAAGTGTATATTGCAGTTTTGAAAATGGAACTCAAATTCACGTTATAAATAAATATATATTCTACTTTGAGCCTACAAATTGCCGGAGCTAGAAGAAGAGAAAAAAAATTGTAAATGTAGTAGAAAATACAATATTCATACAGCAGCAGTATATATTGCAGTTAAAATGGAACTTCATTTCACAATAATAACTAATTTGTACTTTGAAAATGTGGTATAAAAATACATTGTTGATACAGCAGTGCCACCTGTTTCACTGCTTCGGATGACTGTCTCTACCGTCAAAGGTCCGGCTATCTCTTACTACCATAGGTCCGCCAACTTGCATACGTCCTGCAGTTTCACCCAAATAGTGCATGAAATAAATGATTACTAATTTGCAGTTCCAATAAGTTAAAAGGAAGTCATATCAACTACCTTTATAAGGTAGTTAACCACCTTTTAGTTTTCTGTCTTTCTACACATTTTTTATACCAACATACGGCCCATCTGATGGTAAACTCTTACCGTAGCCTGACACACCAGGGGCATGACGCCCCTGTGTGCGTTGCCGACTCTTAAGAAACCTTTATATACCGTTTTCGAAAAATCCAATGCTGTAGTTAATCAAGGAAACCCTGGCAGGAAGTTTATTTTACAATATAGGTGTACGCGGGAGAAAACTTCTATGAAACCGCACTGTCCGTTACCACTTAAATTCCAGCGGTGTGGATGAACCCTGGTGTCCCTGTCGACGAGATATTTTCCATTAGAATTTTATTTTTGCGATTCTGATATTTTGACGCTGTCACAAACATATCAGTCAAATTAAGATGTCAACGTATAAATAACCAGAAAATATTAAAACGTGTTATTTATTTTTTATGTGTATATATTTTGTTTTGTGTAGGTTTCATTCACACCAGATGGCAAGAGTGTTGTAGGTGTCGCGTGGGAGACGGAGCCGCGCCGTCTCGGGCTCATGTTCTGTACCAACCGACACGGACACATATTCAATCTCTCCCTCGATGGCAAATTAAGTAAGTATTTCTCAAAAACACACACATCCTCAAGACACACCCAAACAAGCAAAAGCTATGAAAATGAGTAAAAAAAATAATCTCTTTAATTGCATACAGAGAAAATATACAATAAGAAAAACAGTAAGTAGAAAATTAATAATATAAGGTGGTGTTATCGTTATAAACATTTCTAAAGAGAAGAGAGGATTAATATACACGGAAAGGGTAGATGGTACACACTATAATAATATTAAATAAATAAATAGACATACATAATATATGTATAAACTTACACGTTATTACGAAGGGAGTAAATAACGAGATGACTGCGTACAGAAATGGATAGAAGAGAAATAGACAAAGACATTACGCCAACCTTATGAAATGATGGGATAAGGAAGAAGCAGAGAATGATATCCAACCTTTTTTTCATTCAGGTGTGTTGTCTCGCGAAGGCCAATCAGTGCGGTCACCACGTGTATCAGCATCTGGTGTTACGTGGCTGCAGAGACCAACCGGCGGGCCGCATCACGCTTGTCACGCTCTCGTGTTCAAAGGGAACGACTCGGTAACTAATATATCTATTTAGCAATAGTATGAGTTGTTTTTTTTATGGTACACTACGGATGAATTTTCATTATGACTTACACATTAAATAATAATAACCCTGGATAATTCACACTGCCCCAGCTAGTCCTTAGTTAAGCAGAGCTTGTATTATAATAAAAATAATGATAATATTAGTACTAAGAAAAGCATATTAAAATGGTATTTCTTATACAATCATGATATTTACGGTATACACAATTTTTTAACAGTACCAAAGAAAGAAAACTACCTGTTATTGGTACTAGACTACTGATATATATACTTAGCGAGGAATTGTACCTGCGACCATTAAGTAAAGCAGTGTGCTATTCTTTATTAGGGGAGTTTGGCCTATTGTCAGGTGCTCAGATCTACATAGAGATCTATTGTGTGCGCCCTTTTTCAAAGTTCGCTACCTAAACCTGTCAGGGACAAGAATTGAAGGATAGTCTTAGAGTGACGGTTTATCCTCAGGATAGAGTGTGTGTTAAACCGCTAGACCACCGAGACCGTCAATTTATAAATTTACTAGCTGACCCGCGCAATTTCGTCTGCATATCATACATCGAAAAATATCGATAAAGGAGAAGTGTGTCTTTTATCGATATTTTTTGACCAATTAACATAATATATTTTTAAATTATAGTCTCTGTATTAGCTATATTTCTGTAAAGTTTAATTTTGTTGTGTAGTTTTTGCATGAAAGAGTAGTAAACATTCATCCACACTTAAAACTTTCACGTTTATAATATTAACTAGCTTTTGCCCGCGGCTTCGCTCGCGTTAATTTATCTTCTTAGGGGTGGAATTTATCAAAATCCTTTCTTAGGGGATGCCTACGTCATAGCTGCATTATGCATGCAAAGTCTCAGCCCTATCGGTTTGAAATTGACAAAGTGTCATACAAACTTTCATCCCCTATTTTGTCCCCTTGGGGGTAGAATTAATCAAAATCCTTTCTTAGCGGATGCCTACGTCATAACATCTACCTTCATGCCAAATTTCAACCCGATCCGTCCAGTGGTTTGGGCTGTGCGTTGATAGATCTCTACGTCAGTCACCTTTGTTATATATATTTAGATAAGATATACAGTTGTATTTATTGCATTAATTTCAGGAAGAAGTATCCACAATTATAGACATTGTGGATACAGAGCTGAAGATATGGAATAACGTCAGTTTCCATGGCCTTTTCAATCTATCATTGCCCGGCCAGTGCTTCACAACCGACGGTAGGATCGTGTTCTCCACACCGCAGAAGAACGAAATCAGAAGCTACGTCGCTGATGTTGGTACGTATTGGTATATTATTATCATTCAACCCTTATTTTTGAGGGGTATGATAAATATATGGGCCGATTCTCCAACCTATTCGATATGCACAGATAATTTCATAAAGCTGTTTCGGAGGAATTTGGAAATAAATACGACACGAGAATTTTATATATTAGATAATATGTGTCTGTATTACAATATAAATACAATACAATACAAAATTAAGTTATTAAATCCCTACTGAATATTATAAATGTGAAAATTGGATATCCCTATTTTCTTGTTACTCTTTCACGCAAAAACTACTGCATCGATTATTATAAAATTTTGTACACGTGTTCTTGGAGGTATTAGAATGAACATTGGATACTTTTTATTTAAAAAAAACAAATATTTTTCATTAAAAAAATAGTATCAACATTTTGCTACTTCAGCAGCCAATAATGAAGTTATGCGAGCGAAGCCGCGGATAAAAGCTAGTAAATAATAAAATTGTATATTCCTTTAGTTTTTTTTTGTAAGTTTTGTGTTTTTAATTTCCTTAGATGGCAAAAGGATAGTGGACATTTCATACAACGGCAGCCCCGGGTCTACCTCAGTCCTGGACGTGAAAGGAGACGTTATCCTCGCGGCCTTCTCCAACATGACCACACCAGGACAGGTTAGTACAATTTACCGTGTGGGAGGGGATTGTTAGTATTGGGGTAGTGGCCATATTTCTAGCAATGTACCAGTCAGGTCCACCTCCATGTGGTCCTTGAAAATATCGATCTAGTAATTTCGCCACGATGTGCTAACTCACCTGACCTCATAATAATCTAATCTATATTGTAATGTCTACGTATGTAACTAGCGTAGCTACGGTATTATAGTGTAAGTGCCTTAATTTTCTCATTAGGGCATCTACACTGTAATATAATTTCACAATAATTGCCGTGTAATCGTGTCGCGTGCAATCGTGATTGCATTTAAACTATTTTATGTATTCATTCTTTCGCACGTGATTATGATTTCGTCCAGTAGCGTGTATTTTTTCTCAAAGAGTATGTATGATTGTAGTTATACGTGGCCCGGCTGCCAGCTGCGGGTAGTGAAGCGGAGATCTCGTGGCAACCAGTAGGGACGCGGCCCGAGTCTCCGCTGCCGCCCTCTATAGTACGCTACTTGAACCTGGAACACGACAATAGCACCGATTCCGTCAGTGAGTATGCACTTCAGAAAGGTTTACAGTTCCAGTGCTGTACATTATCTACAGATCGAAACTCGAACCGTGAAAATATGGGAAACATCTTTGTCATTCTTTCTTCTTTCTTTCTTTTTTTCTTTCTTGTCAAAACTGACTTTTATAAAAAACAAATATCGTTCGTTCGTTATAGATTAACGGACGCCCACTTAGAAGACACACTTCAAATTTACTGTTCCTCTCGAGTACCAAACTATAAAGAACTAGCTCGAGGCCGTCGGTGTAGTTTCTCACATTAATTTAGGTCTTGTGTTTTAAATTTTGAATTTGATTTTTAGATTTTTTAATTATTATCAGTTGAATTTTGCTGGACCTCGTTGAACTTTTCCCACACTATTCGGATCCCACCTAAAAATTCTTGCCGACCATTCCGCTACACCACCCAAGAACTGCTTATACACAGCACGTTTTTTTATGTGCGATGAGGAGCGCGTTCGCTTTAGTGCGGGAAAGTCAACACGCGCATTTAACTATTTTTTGGTTTACTCTTTCGCGTGAGTTTTCGCGAATGACTTATGTCCTTATGCTTTCTTTAAAATTATATTTTTTATTTCATACATTATATTTTACAAGAAAACACTTAAGAATTATTAATTATTAGCAACTCTATAAATATGGTCTGCTCTATACTAATTACAAACAGTTAAATTACGTACGACTGAAGGACACGGGAATACCTTACGCATGCCTAACCCCCTCCGATCGATCCCCCGTCCAATTCAAACGGGGATCGAAATTACGACGGCCTGAGCCGAGGTTCGAACCTCTAGTGGTGCCCTCAGACTAAAATCGTATCTGTCAGGCAGGAGTTGGCCTTCAGCCGCTCTATAAGTCCTTCCGCGGGTTAGAAGTGCCATCTGCACTCGCCCCCTAACGTCCGGTGAAGCTGTAAAGGCTAGCTGCGGCCAACAGCATTAGAGTAGTCCGAAAAAAAAAAGCATGCCTAATGGCGCGTGCGGTCTTTCTGGATCTCTTTGTCGTATGAAAGAGCGTACGTAAGCTGATTATAACAGCTAATGACGTTACAGATGTTGAGAATTGTTTCCAATTTTTTTATAGATGATAATGGAATGATGCACTCACCTGCGCTAACGGTTTACGCTGACAGAGCATCAGCAGAGGATGATAAGATGAGTATGAGGTCAAGTCAGTTAGCCCATCGTGACAAATTCACCAAGAATTTATCACGATGGTTTCTAGGGGGAACCCCGTGGAGGTCAACCTGACATAAGTCCATGTTACTAACAATCCCCTTTCCCCCTTCCCCCTGTCTCAATATTAATGAACGTATGTGAAGTTGGATCGAGTAACTTATTTATCTATGTATGATTTCAGAGTCTTTCACGGCTTTGTACTTAGCGCCGGACAGCGAGACGAAACTGCCATTGGTGGTGTGGCCGCATGGCGGACCGCACGGTAACTTCGTGAACGCGTTCATGATCGACGCCGCCTTGTTCAATCTCCTAGGTAATTTTATTTTTTATACTCGCGAACCCGGCTTTGCACGGGTACATATACTATATATATATAAACCTTCCTCTAGACTAATTGTCTATTGTTAAAAACAGCATTAAAATTCTTTTCGTAGTTTAACAAGTTAAAGATGCGCATGCGCACCGGTGGGTCACTCCGCAACCAAAGTAAATTTACACGTTGGGACCGGGTGATCACCCGTGGGCACTGTAATTGAAATATATCTAGGGGTTAAATATTGTTTACCTCAAATTAATGTACACTAAAAACATACATAAAAAGTAATATACATTATTATCAATAAAAAAAATGGTTCCTATGTGAGAATTCATTCAAGAGTCCATTCTATATATACTTTGTAACTAACGACCCGCCCCGGCTTCGCACGAATACATTACAAATCGTTGAATTTGTTGGCTTATTCTATACTATGACATGTATTATATAAACCTTCCACTTGAATTACTATATCCATTGCTGCCAACGGCATAAAAATCCATTGCGTAATTTAAAAGATATATATCTGACATCTCTCGTATTTTTGATCCACTTGGATTGTTAGCTCTAGTGGTTATCAGAGCAAAAATATTTTTTCAAAAATTATGGCATCTGGAATAAACTGGGATGATGAATTACCTACACAACTGTTAAATGAGTGGCTATTGTACATAGTGAGCACCCGTGCGAGTGTGGTAGCCTAGTACTATACTACTATATTATGTATCTTATTATTTAATAGAGTTATTTCCTAGATGCCACATTTAACTTGTGTATTATTTTTTTATAAAATATAAATGTATTTAAAATGTATGCATTTTTAAAGTTCTATGCATAACTAATTAACAAATTATTAATCAAAGAAGTTATGTTTTGTAAATATTACGTCGACTATTCTATTGTAGCGCGATGGTTATCACCATATCACTGTAGCGTTATATGTTGTGATCAAGTACTTAATTTGTTTCCTGTAGATCTAGGTAGTATACAAGTGTTATAATTGCACTACATTAGTAAGTTTTTATAATAGTGTGCTATATGGCTTATAACGCGTACACTCAACGTGGAGACTCAATTTAATAGAAGGATGCCGAGTACTGACAGAAATATTACAAATGTAGGTAGACTTTTATATAATATTCTAGAGTTATATATTATTATTCTATTATATTGTTATTCTATTATATAATTTCTAGAGTCTGTTATAAAACTGCCAGAAAAAAGATTTAAATGTCAAATAAAACAGTTCCTTTGCAAAAAAGCTTACTATAAAATTGAAGAATTCGTTAACGATAATAATGTTTTTATAGAAAAACTTTAAATCTATAGCACTGACAATATTATCTGATTACATTAATAATGAGTGTGTAGCGACTTCTATGTTGATTATCGCATGCCTCTTACTTGTTATACTGTAATTATTTATATAAAAAAAAACATCTATTAAAAAGAGCAACACACAAGTTTCTTGCTCATTCTTCTTGTGATGAATCTGCATTCCGAATGAGTGGTAGAATCAAAATATGACTATTCAAAAGTGCTTGTAATGAGTTTATTTGAATAAAGATTATTTCTATTTATCTATATCTTATATATAAAATTCTCGTGTCACAATGTTAGTTACCAGTTTGAAACTGCTTGATCGATTTTTCTGAAATTTTATATACATGCTCAGTATGTCTTAGAATCGGCTACTATCTATTTTGCATACCCCTAAGTGATAAGTGTTGTCAACCCCTAACTTATTTTTTTGACATTAACATTTTTATTATTTTATAATGTGGCGTTAAAAAATTAATACAACCCTACATTTCCAGCTTTCTATCACCAACCCCTACTTTTTTTATAGCCAAACTAGCTGTTACCCGCGACTTAGCTCGCATGTTTTTTTAAATAAAAAGTATCGGTTCAGTAGTTTTTGCGTGAAAGGGTTTCAAACATTCTTACTTTCACATTTATAATAGTATAGATTAGTACTTCAATTTATATGGCAAAAAAACGTTTGTTGGGACACCTAGTATACATGGCCTTACATATTAAACTACAATTAGACCCAAAAAATGCAGGTTTTGCGGTACTACCAATTAACTACCGCGGTTCAACGGGCGCTGGTCAGGCCACCCTAAACTGTTTACCAAAACACGTGGGCGATTACGACGTGAAGGACTGTAAATACGCGACAGACGAGACCGTCAGACGGTTCCCCATAGATACGGAGAAGATCTGCCTGTATGGGGGGTCGCATGGTGGTTTCCTTGTGGGCCATCTGAGCGGGCAGTACCCTAATGTGTACAGTGTGGTGGTCAGTCGGAACCCGGTTATTGATGTCGCTTCCATGTTCAATTCAACGGATATCGCTGATTGGTAAGTTAGTAGTTCATTGAACATATATATATAATTAATTATCTAATATTCGACGAGCTCGGTGGTCTAGCAGTTTAGCGCACTTCGTCGAAAGAGATCGTGGCCAAGAAGTTTGCTACATCGATTTAGATCAAAAGTTTCTGAGTTCAAATCTAATTAGTGATATATTTTACTGTCTCGGTGAAGAGCGGTTTAGTACACTGCCTTACTTCTAATGGTCGTGGGTTTGATTCATCGAACGACACAAACATTTTATGGTACATATATTTTTTATTCATAATTGTTATATGATTGTATGTATCGGTCTGGGTGTTTTCTATATCATGTATACATTAAAAAAAATGTATTTATATATTTATATCAGTTGTCTAGTACCTATAACACAAGTTCTTCTTAGTTGGGCCTAGATGGCGCTGTGTGTATTGTCCTGAGATATTAGTATTAATTGTTAATAGTTGCCGTCCTATAAGAATATGAAACAAGGGAACGATGGTTTTTACACGGGGTAAAAACCATCGTAAGATTATATCGTTTCCTTGTTCTTATCGATGATGACGCTGTGTTTAGGTTGAAAGGTGAGACATGGCATTAAAATTACGGGGTGTGGAGACATACAGAATATCAAAGCATGGAATGAAATGAAATTTTTTATTTTGCGATGAATGTAGTACGCACAGTAGTTATAAAGTGGGTTCATATAGATGCATACAAATCGCCTTATGTGAAGACATGCAAAATTTTGTATGAAATAATAATTTATAGTCTACATTCATAACATTAATACTAGATTTAATGACAAATTTGCTGTTCCTAACTTTTACAATTAGAAACTATAGGAATTCCACTATAGTGGAGTTATCTTTAAATTTAAAACATCTGTTAAATTATATTTATTGGGCAATGCCTATTACTCACTAAACGATTAATTAAATGACAAACAAGTATGACAAACAAACTGGATTTTAAAAAAGCAATTTAGTTGAATTTCTTGCGTTTAAATGTGTATACTGAACTGGACAGCATGGAAAAAATATAAATATAAAAAAACTTGACGTTCATATAAGCGGCTAAAATGTCCTACATGAATAAATCTAAAACATTTGATTTGATTAGACGTAGATGTATATAGATTTACTTAGAAGTAGATGTATATAGATTTGCTTAGACGTAGATGTATATAGATTTGATTAGACGTAGATGCATATATTTTTTCCATCATTTGGATCGTCTTTTGGAATTCTACGCTGAATCTCCTTATTCTATCCATAGCAGAAAGACTTAAAACCCCATATTGCTAGTTCAAGCTGACATTTTGTTGCCGACCATTGACGTATTTCGCATTCGAAGATAAGATTTTGCAACAAAACAAACAAAATCCTAAAATAGCATCTTCAACGGAGGCGTTTTAATTTCCTGTTAGGGCTTTATCAGATTGAATTTCTAACTGCTCGTAAATTTAAATTGCGTTTATGACTTGATTCATATTGAAATTGTTCTTTTTCTTTATGTTTGTTCTGTATATTGTGTAAATTACACAAAAATTATTAGTTTGAGCACTTTCTGGTGTTTACATTACAAAAAATGACACAAACTGTTAGATGTTTTTTGTTTGTACCTAAAATATATTTATTGCAACATATAATTTGTCTTTTTATATGGTAGATAAATATGAAAGATTGTGGTTTGGTGTGTAAATAGATAATATACGATTGTTTTCCTCGCAATAATAACAAATAAAAAAATGAATCCTTGACTTTAAAAAATCTCGCCTTTAAAAAAGTAATAAAAGTTTCACAATTACAGTCACTCTTTTTTATCGTTTGTATTGTGTAAACGATCTGCTTTTCTTTCATTTTACGGTGAACTGAATTTCTTTGTGGAGGCCTGACCAACGCATACATTGTATTCGTGCTTTTCTGTTTAGAAACGCAGAACGAACATTTATTGAATTATTTACATTATTCACATATTTTTTAAAAAAAATATAAAATAAAGTAGTGTAATAATCGTTTAATGATTACAAAAAGCTTGAATTTTTTTAATATTAATTCTTATTCTTCGGCTCGTGACGGGTAATAATTGAATGCAGATGTCACAATGCAGTCACAAACAGATATGTTATTTTATTTTCAACTGGCTACCCGCCTCGACACTTGTACAGGTGTACATGTATTATACATATAAACTTTCGTCTTGAATCACTCTATCTATTGATCGAAACTGCATTAAAAAATCTGTTGCGTAGTTTAAAAGATCTAAGCGAACAGACGGCGGAAACGACTACATTTTATACTATGTAAAAAAGAGTTGCCTATAATAATTGCATGAGTGCGAAGCCGGAGATCGCCCGTACTAAATAACACAATGGAAATACAGCTTTTATGCACAGAGAATTAAGAATCATTTTAGTTTATATTTTATTGATGTAGGTTTTATATATTATAATATATTATCATTAGTTAAACGTTTTTGGTATTGTTTTGTGTATTCCCGCTCCCATTAGCATGTATGAAGCAACAAATATTCACAAAGGCCCGACTACTTAAAACTTTATGACATTCCGTAGTAGTTTTCAATATCCTTGTTATTATTGAGTGTAGACCAATATTGTAAAACGTGTAGACTGTACAAATTCGTTTGTGTGGATTCTTAAGTCTCGCTTACTCAGCCGCTAGCAACTTGCTTTGTTTTTTAGATGTCATGTAGTGCTCAGTTGAAGGGCCAGATAAAGAAAATTAAAGGTTACTGAGGTATGATATCACAGTTCTCTGGAATGGTAACGAATGAGTGGTACCACAGGATCACTTATCCGTGGTGTTTATATACGTAGATGACAGTTACCGTACAAAACCGTGTTTCTCCATCATCAGGCAATTAAAAGAGTTCGGTTACAACTTAGAAGGCTAGAGTTAACTGTTCATTCAGATTATACTCGTTCTAGTCTAATGCTTGCTGAATTAAACAAAGCACTACCGAATCGTTTAGAGTAATTAATAAAAGTTATCACAGTCCGGGCGCTAAGAGTTTGCGGTTCAGACGGGTTGGTATCGAATGGACGATGTAACTTTGAACTAACGTACAATTTACAGCCAAATTTTAAATAACTTTCATTATTGACATTAAAAATTTAATAATTATTTCAACTTACAATAAACGTATTAATTATATGCTAAAATTATTACCTACTTAATAAATATAAAAAAAACAATAGATTTTAAAAGTCAAACCATATAAACCACCTAACTGCGCTGTTTCAAGGTCATTTGGTCACATTACTACAAAAACAAAAACCTGTCAGAAACGCAAACTCTGAACGGCTGAACTTTACTACCATAGGTCTGGCCTCCATCAGAGTTAATTTTCGCGGTTCGACCGGATTCGGCGACAAGAACGTACGCAGTCTCATTGGCAATGTTGGCGTTTACGACGTGCAAGATTGTCTTCTCGCTCTAAATACTGTAAAAGAAAGCGACAGCAGATTGGATGATTGTCTATTGTACGGTGGGAGTTATGGGGGATTCACTGTCGGGCATTTGGCTGGGCAGTACCCGGATAGGTTTAAAGTAATGGTGATGAGAAATCCACTGATAGATCTGGCCACTAAAGGCCATTATGCTGATAATTCTGATGGGTGAGTAAAGTAAATTTAGTTTACGTGCTTTGTACTACATCTGCATAGGTACCTCTTTTACACCTGTTTCATCCTGTAAGCAGCTTGCTTTGTAAGCTGTGTTTTTTTATTGATGATAATGGAATGATGTGGCCTACGCTAATGGTTTACGCTGGCGGGGCATTAGTGGAGGATGATATGATGAGCATGAAGTCAGGTCAGTTAGCCCACCTGGCAAATGACAATTTACCGCAATGGATTCCACGGGGAACCGCAAGGAGGTCAACCTGACATGGTGCATTTATAGCAATGGGGTTATCAGTCCACATCACTAACACTCCCCTTCCCCCCTGTAAGTTGTGTTTTAGGTTGTAGGATGAAATATGGGAGTTAAATAGCTGGAGCTGAAGCTGGAGGCATGATACGGGTATCCTACGAAGACGTGATGACGTGGGCTTTATTTGTAATTTTAATTATATTATTATTTGTAAATTTAATTAATAGCATTCCGCCAGTTAGCCCATGCACCTGCATCATCTAATATTCACTAGCTGTAACGGTGTGATATTTGTACGGTGAAAACAGCAGAATATGATGAAACCTATTTTTATTTTATTTTATATTAGAATCCTGCAGTCGGCTGCTCATACAAGTCACTATAATAATAATCTCATGACAATTCACACAGCGCCATCTAGACCCAAGTTAAGCTACCTAAAGCTTGTGTTATGGGTACTAGTTAACTGAGACAAATACAGAGATTTTTTTAGTAAATACTTATCAATACAAGTGTTTGTGCCGTGCGAGGAATCGAACCTTCGACCATTGGAAGTAAAGCGTTGTGCTAAGCCATTAGACCACCGAGGCCGTCTTTTTATATAATTACTAACAACTTATTGTAACTATCATATTCTAACAAATAGATAAATTATTATAAAATGATACAAAATAATTTATTAGGTGCGCAGTAGAAGCCGGCTTTGAGTTCAAGGAAAATGGCCCGTTATCAGAAGAGGAGTTGCTGGCAATGCGTCGCTGTTCGCCATTGGCGCATGTTCACCGTGTGAAAGCGCCCACTGCCCTTATGCTGGGCTCTGGGGACAAGCGGGTGCCACATTTCCAAGGATTGGACTACGCTAGGCGGTTGAAGGCTAACGGTGTACCCACCAGGTGAGATCTGATGCATCTACTAGTCAATAGGATTGGCTTTTCGGAGTGGGGAAGAGGAGGGGGGAGGAAAGGGGAGTGTGTTAGAGGGAGGGGACTGAGTAAGGGAAGAGTCAAGTGAAGGGGGAGGGGGGGGGTGATTAAGTAAGGGTGTAAAGGAGGATAAAAAGTAGTCTATGTTTACAAGATGGAGCGTATATATATATCATATAACGATTTTTATGATAGATTAAATCTATAAAATACTGGATCGATTTATGTCATTCATAAATAAGTACCTTATCATCTTATGATATGTTTCAAGCAAGCAACGCCGCAAATTTTTAGCCTGTGTTATTCAGATGTATAAGCTATATTACTTTAAAGTTTCATAAAAATCTGTGCAGTAGTTATTGCGTTTATAATATTATTAAGATTAAGACAACATTTATATTTATTTATTATATAAAAATTTACAATTGTGTTAGAAATAAAGAGTATAAAAAAATGTATAACATAATAATCATAATAGGTGACTGTTAAATTAGATATGAATGACAATTGATGTGTATTTGCAGGGTGTACATGTATGATGACAATCACTCGTTGTCGTCGCTGCCCGCCGAGATGGACAATCTTATTAACGGCGCGCACTGGTTCCTCCAACACTTGCCTTCCTAACAACACAGAAGATACACTATTTTTTTACATTTTTTATGTCATTTAATTAATTTTATAAGGATTTACATTTTTATATAAATTGTAGTGTACTAAAGATTTTTTTAAATAACAATTATTAGGAATACGCTCAACACTCGTCCGTTCCGTTCTGCGGGCTGCTTGTAGAATGCCTTATTTGTCCGATTCACTGTTCATAGGCCGCCATCTTGCGCCACTACACTCGAAAATCCGGAACAAAAAAGCGGAAGTGATAACAAAATATTGAATAATTTGTTATAATAATTATAAAAGTGCTGTTCTTTTTCGATACGCTCTTGACAGAACAGTCGTGGCCATTATGTAGTGGAGTGAGAGGCATTTGTCATCCGCCTTACGAGAGCTCGCCATTTCTACCTACTGGCTGCCATTCTGGTACTCGTGGAGTCGACCACCAACCGCTGCTTTGAATTGGTCGGTCCATCACATAGCTCATGTTGTATAAAGTGCTATATGTTATGTTTGTTTATTTATATTTGGAAAACCAAGACTATTTACAAGCACAATAATAAACTTATAGCGTCCTTGTAATATGTTTTGGTTGAAGAGTTAAGATACGACAATGAAATTACAGGGTAAGAAAGAATAATACATTAGTGCTCCGGATTTGCAACTATTGCTGACTTCAATATATGCTAGTTATAGCCGATTATGAATTATAATATACTTCTTTAGACCAAGTAAACAGCAATAGAAAGATTTTGTAAGTGTATAATATCATGTATATTATATTTTATAATAAATCATTGTTTATACATATTGACTTTATTTTCATATTTCCTAATATTTCATTACGATATAGTAATTTACAGTATGTCTGAAAATATACGAGGTTGATAAAAATAAAATAATTACTTTAACAGTAAACCTTCTATGTTAGTATATTATTCAAAATATTTGTATTCATTTTAATTTTTTTTTCTATTTTACAACTAAATGGCTTGAGTCTTGAAGTCTCGAGAAAAATCTAATAATATTAATTTATTAGAATTTTCTATTACTCGAGATTATTATTACTAATTTAAAAAAAGATATACCTACTTATTAAATTTATTGACCGTTTGAATCGAGAACTCGGAACCATATCAAATGGCTCGTTCCCTAATGACCAATAAAAACAACACTGTCCAACTTATTGTGCGACATTGGGGTGCAATGTTTACCGACAGGTGGACACCGACATGTGCGCGTCACAATGTTGGATATTGAACAGTGATAGGGTTGCCATCCAATTCCTTTTTTAAGGGAAGGTAATGGAATGGTGCACTCTACTGTCCTAACATTATCATGATAAAATGAGTATGATGTCAGATCAGTTAGCCCATCGTGGCATATTCACCAGGAATTTAACATAATGGTTTCCATGGTATGGGGAAACCGCGTGGAGTTCAACTGGACGTGGTACATTCGCGTATTTTCTACGTTTGTTTATGTGATATTATCTTATCTGTGGTTTGGTGTTGATGGGTTCTCAGCTTGTTCGCCAGTCAAGTTATAGGTATATCGACGGAAATAAAACGGAATTGTCGTAACTTGAAAAACCCAAGTTTACAAACCGTTACAGAAATTCATAACTCATATATTTATCGATATTTATAAAACTAGCAAGCTTATTTGTATAGGTTATTTAGGATAGGATTTTAGTACGGTAAAATAATCTATTTAGAAAGATAATATTGTGTACCTAATATACTAAAAATAAAGTAAAATAGAAGGTTATCAACCTTATATTTTTAGAAGTTGTGTAATCAGAAGAAACTATTGAGTTTTTTTATTCTTTATAGCACAACAAAAATGGTACATAAGGCGAGCTGTATGGCTTCCTCTACTAGCTAACTTTTAGGTAGAAATAGAAAGCGTTGTAGCAATCATGGCGACAGTATCACAGTTATTTATATAACATATTATATGTTATATAAACAACATGTACAATTATGTTATTGAGCGGAGCGATCTTAAAGATAGATTTGCTCTCTTTGTAATGATGCTCCTCGGAAGCAGCTTGACCGATCGAGACCAAAATGTCATCGAATTTCGATCTTCGGGCCACCATCGTTTACCAATAAAAAATAATCGGATCGGTCAAGACCGAGTTTTTAAGAATAAACGCAACGCAACATGTGAGCTTGTGTAAACGACACACCGTTAACAAACCTAGTATAAATCTATATTCGATTAAAATATAAATCAAGAAATTTAAATCGAATGTATTTAAAATATACACATCTTATTTAATAGTTAAGTATTAAATAACATATGTTGGTAGTTACCAACCCTATGCAAGTTGCAAGTGACGCTTTCTAGTGAGGGCGCTTGGCCAATTGTTCTACTGATTAATTAGTATAAAGTGTTTGTGAAGTGGAAAATTTATATCGACACTTGAAGGGCTGGGGGTGGACAGGTCGGACATTTGTGTAGCCGTAATGTAACGTCATGTCATACATGTTTTTACACTGTTTAGGTTGCCTGTCAGTTCCGGTATAGACAAATAATATTAAAGATAAACAATATTAATCTATTCTTAATTTGACCACAGACTTTAACAATAAACAAAAGAGTATATATGCATGGAAGTGTGTGTAATGTCCTTTTTATCGATTTAGTGTATTGTTTATGCATAATTAAAAATATATATATTACCTAGTATTCTGCACTACCTCTCTATATAAACTACAAGTGTGCGAAATTTCATACTGCGTAATTTTCGTATGTATAAAGTTTTTGCTTCACGTATAGGCATTTGGGTATAAAAATAATTATTTATTTTTTTGGGACGGTGTGGCAAGTAACTTTTCAACCCGCAGATTAAAGAAGTAGGTTTAATCTGTATTTGAACTAACTAAGCTTTCTTAGGTGATGATGGAATGGTAATACCCGTGGCCTAATTTGGATCTAGGTTTAATTCCACACCAGATTTTCGTCCCTTTGTGTTAATATTGATGACGTACGCTGTTTCGGTTGAGACTGAGACATGAGCAATGAAGTTACGGAGGCTTAACATCTACATACATCCACATATATGAGAAGACTACGGTTACCACTTACCATCAACTTGTTTGTCATTACATAGTATAAAACAAAGTCGCTGTCGCTGTCTGTCCCTATGTTTGCTGAATTCTTTAAAATTACGCAAGGGATTTTGAAGCGGTTTTTTTAATAGATAGAGTGATTCAAGAGGAATATATATATATACATTTTCTCCGGACAATTCACACAGCGCCATCTATAGTCCCAAACTAAACAGAACTTGTGGTATGGGTATTAGACAACTGATATAAATATAGTTTTTTAGTAAATAGGTACATAATACATAGAAAGCACCAAAACCAATACAAAAAGTCATACACATGAATACAAATGCTTTTTACCGTGCGAGGAATCGAATCCGCGAACTTCGGAGAAAGATGGTGTGTTAGGTTGACCTCCACGCGATATACTCAGGAAATCATCGTGATAAATTTCTCTTGATTTGTCCTCATGACCTCATGTTCATCTAATCAACCTCCATTGGTGCTCTGTCAGCCTAAACCGTTTCCACAGACGGCGTAGCTATCTATTTAAATGAAATATTCTATATTCAATTCTCATAATCTCTGACATTTCATGGTTGTTTCTCGAAAGTCACCGATCCTTTCGATAAAAACGATAAAATATTCCCCCGTAGCGAGTCGCGTGGCGCTCTGTCGTATAGTGTAATAACGACGCTCTATTTGGCGGGAAAACGTAGGTACCACCCGGTCCCGGGTCCCGGTCCCCGCTCCCGAATGCACTGTCCCTTATTATAACTGTAATTATTGTACATTCGAACGGAAAATTAAGTGGTATCTACTTAAAAATATGTTTATTATCTTGTATTACATGTTTAGATGCAAACATGCGTTTTTTTATATCAAGATCTCTATAAGTGGAGGTATCTTGATGTACCTGATACCTGTAAGCAGTATGTATGTAAATAAGACAAATATAACAGGGATTGTTATAAAAAGAATGCGTTATAAAATACTTTTATAATCATAGGGTCATATATACAAATTTATTACGCGAAGATCGAATTGCGACTATTAAAAGATAAAGCAATGTGTTCCTTATGGGTGATAATAGAATGGTGCACTCACCTGCGCTAACAGTAAACGCTTGGCACCAGTGGACGATGATCACAAATTTATCAAAAATTTATTTATGACAATGATTTTAAGGGGACCGCATGGAGGTCGACCTGATATGGTACATTGTTAGCAATGTGGTGAGTGTTCCCATTCATTACAAACAATCCCTCACCTCCCCGAAGCAAAATTGTTAAACTGCTACATCACCAAGACGTAGATATAAATATGTAATGAAATTTTATACGGTTTTTTACAGCATAGGAGACAAAAGAGCTTAATTATTTTTTTTTATTTAATAATTATACAATCTAATGTTATAATTATCGTTGTGATATAAGGTGAAGTCCTGCTCCCTGAAGGGTAAGTAGTGCTCATTCCCTAATACACTATAGTACTAAGTGACACGGCGGAGGGGGGGGGGGGGATAGTTAGTAACGTGGATTGATGATCTCATTGCTAGCAATGTACTATGTCAGGTTGACCTCTACGCGCTTCCCCCTGGAAACCATCGCGATCTTAGTGAATTTGTCACGATGGGCTAACTGACCTGACCTCATGCTCATCTTTTCTCCATTGGTGCCCTGCTAGCGTAAATATAGTATATATTGTTGACCTTTAATTTTACACTAAATTTAAATATATTTCATTATATACACAAAGGTAAGTAAATATTAACATACGGAAACAACGTGTTTCTCCGTTTCATTATAAGACTTCTTTATCAGCCATTTGAAACCTATCTTTTTACACTCGGGCCTTGATTTAGACATTATAGACAATTCACTATTTGCCTTTTTATATAAATAAGGTCCTGCAAATAGAATAAACCTATTTATAAAAGTTAATTAATTATCATTAGTTTGACAATAGTTTTATTGCTGTATATGTGAAATATCTACATCAATAAAGGGGACAATGAACCTTGGTCTAAAATTGAAGGGTGGAAAGATCATTAGTAGAAAACTCATGTACCTCAACTTAGTCAAAAGGCAGTTTTCTATAACGGTCATTGCTCTTGCTACAGTTCGTTGTGTCCGTTTTGATGCTGACTGTACCTACACAGTAGGCCTATCTATGTAACAAGCGAGTAAGTTCAGGTCTAAGAACAAACAAATATTGTTAGTTACAGATATAATACAAATAATACAATAAAATACATAGATATACCTTGGTAAGTACATATATTAGGAAATATTATTGACGATTTTGTTCCATAAAAAAACCTTGTATAAATTTACATTATGTACATTGCTAGCAATGGGATAGTCCACATTACTAACAATCCCTTTCCTTCCAGTCTTGAGTTTTAATTGTTACAAGTTCAAATGGATTACAATTATTTGATTGTAATGACTAAGCGGATATGGAATGCTTTGTCCAATGCAAACATGGGGATGGGGCGCCAATGTCAACATTGAACGAGTACTCTCCTTCAGTGGTAATTGGAGAGCTTTTCACGTTGAGTATCGAACAGTAGTGTAGCTGAAAATCATATTACTTTAACGTATTAATAACTTATTTATTAAAGTAATTGATGTTTACATTAAACAATTTTATGACAGAATAAAATTGTTTCAAGATTGCTTGGTACGAGTGTAAATATAATCTATTGTACGGATCTTCAATTTTTTTAAAACAATTTCTAGCTCATGTTACACCCCGTTAATGTAGCGTTTTGAAGTCTGTAAGATTAAAAATTTTGAGTAACCCCTAATAAAAACCTCTAATAATTTGTAGTTATCTGGATCATGTTAGGTTTCAAACAAGAATCTGTATCAAAATCGGTCTATTTGTTTAGGAGCTATTATACCACACACATACCTATATGTCAAAACAAGACCTCTGTGTCGGTGGCTAATGAAACATTTTTGAGTTAATTAGGTATAGCCAAAAATCATAGCAATATTACTTCGGATATTTGGCAGTTTTTGCTTCCGTGGCGCTGGTGTCGATTTCCCCTGCCGTGTGACTTTCATCGTTAGGGACTTGACTCAGTATAAAAGTTTCACAGATTTAATTAGTCTGCATATTTTGTGAATAGTTGGTCAGCTCATATATATTAAGTACATACAAGTATATATAGAGAACCTATGAGTGCCTACTAATAACCTATGCATTGAGGAAGTACCCGCAGTGTCGTACCGTCTTCTATGAGTAACTTGATAAGGCTACACACTTGATAACCGTAACTAATTGTCCGGAGCTATCGTCGATGCGGGCCAGCCGCGGTCTTGCGGGCGGAAAAATATCGATCGTACGCCACACACCTGTTCGGAACAATGGGCCGTGGGGCCCGCACCTGCCCACAACCGCGCTCGCAGCCGGAACGCGCGCACATACGCACCACACCGACCACTCGCTCCGCGAATTCGACCCAACCATGAGCGGCGCGGGGGGACGCTGACCGTCGCGACGTCACACCGGCCTTGCGCCGTCGCCGATCGATTGCCGTCCGGCATCTTGGATGGTCACCGTCCGCAGCATCGTCTATCCTCAGGTAACTAACGCAGCACTTTTGTAAACTCTCGCCAACTTTTCTAGTGCAATTCAAAATTAAATTAAAATTGTGGTGTCCAAGAAAATATGTCGTCTTATGATAATGGTGCTGATTCATGTTTGAGGTGACTCATCATTTTCTATGTCGCAACCTTTTCAGGATCGGAAAGCTATGTAGTTGGGCATAATGCACATAACATCGGGCTTGTCACCAGCGTCCGGCGAAATGCTGGACACATCTATGGACTTTTATGGAGACGCAGGAGAACAATGTGGAACTACATATTTCGCTGTGGACCACACCGTTCCAGAATCTTCTCATACAGTTGAGATTGAATACATATACGAACAACCTGAAACTTACTCTCAAAATAACATAGAAGAGCCAAATAATAGTGACGCCCAAATAGTAACAACTTCTAAGCCAGAAGATGATCAGCAAGACCGATTGTCCAAAAAGATACGCACAAAACATAAGCCTGAAAACCTTTCTGTAGATGACACAGAGACAGATTTGACTAATTTGACATGGCTTCAAAATATAACGAACATAATGGCAGTGCCGCAATTTCCCATATCTCCCATGTCGCCTAACCCACCAGTGAAAACGCAACCACAAAATACGAGGTTGCAAAAGTTCAATCAAACAATAGCCAAATGCCAGAAGGACTTCATGGAGAATAAAGAAGAATATCAGTCGAATAGTGAGAAGAAGCCTCCGTACTCATATAGCACGCTGATCTGTATGGCGATGAGGTATAACAATGACAAGATGACTCTATCAGCTATATACTCCTGGATTCGTGAGAACTTCAAATATTACAGGAACGCGGATCCCACTTGGCAGGTTAGTTGTTATCTGTATTAGTATATGTATGTGATACGGTAGTGATCAGGAAACCCCAACAGATTTAATAAACGTTGAACGACATAGTAATCGCAGATAAGATTAAACCTAATTGGCAATAGGGATTGGATTATTTGAGTGCTTAGGATTAAATATTGCATACTTTGCATAATTTGGAATATATTCTTAACTGAAACAAAGATAATTAGCTGTATTTTTATTCATAATATTTAATTTAAGAAGTAATGAAAGTGGTTAATTATAGGTGTTGTGTAGTATAGCTGTTTTATAGAATTTCATAGTTTAAAATAATATTTTTTTGAGAGCGTTGTCATTTCAACATACAATGCAAGATACTGAGCTCGAATTGACGAATGATATTCAAAGACATAAAAACTTGTGTGTTTAATTGTTCTTTTATACTACGATGGCGGCAAACAAGCATACGGTTGTTACCGTAGTCTAGTCACCTGACCCACTAGGGGTGTCACGTGCGTTGCCGATGCATAACTTACTTAGAAATAGTATTTCTAACTAGTTATAAAATCTTAGATGATGGAAATTCCGATAAAAAAAGCCTGATTAAATCCGGAAAGTTTCTAGTAACATTTGAGTATGATTAAAGTAATTAGTGTTATAATTTCGAAATAAAGTTTGAGTTTTAAGCATCATGCCTGAATTGCTTAATCAATTATTATGAAATTTGGTATGAACGGTTAATCTTGGAAGCTAGTATGTCATATAGTTGACCCAATGTTTGTTTAGTAAAGATTGCTTAACGATTAAAGCGTCTTTTGTACTAATTATTTTTTATTATGTTACATGATTCTTTATTTTATATTGGAGCCACAGTTCCAGGAACATAGGAACTGTGGCTCCAATATAATATTTTTTTGTATAATATTTTTACGAAGGTCACTGTACTCACAACAATAATAAGTTATCAAAATTAAATTTCGTTTCAGAATTCCATACGTCACAATTTGTCACTGAACAAAGTATTCGTAAAAGTGGCCCGCTCTAAGCACGAACCAGGGAAAGGTGGATTTTGGAAGCTCGACCTCGCCCATTTAGAAGGCACGAAGCGTATTTCAAACAGGCCACATAAGAAAAAGAAAAATAACCCAGTGGGAGAATCGAAAGACCTAAAAATGTCAGAAGAAAAAGTGGCTGTTGCTAATATTCCACAAATCGAATCCCTGGAAGTTGTTGAAGAAATGGCCACGGATATTCATAATGTAGTGACGTTACATCTTCCTGAGTTTACATTAGGAAGTGGCATACAATCGATATCCGATATAGACTTGGAAACTAATATAGGGGCAAACGTGATAGTAGAGCCTGTTGCTCCACCACCCCTGATTCCAGAAGATGACATAACATCTTTACTTTTAAATCACACTGATTGGGACGATCTTCAACTGGACATGTTCGACAACTATCTGGATTCTTGTTTCACGTAAGATTGTTATTTAACATCTGATAATTGTACGTTTTGCGCCGACTCAAGATAGGTTTAGGTTTGCAGTAAATATGTCTTTATCTATTGCGTGTGATATCATAATTATTGATAAGTATATTGTCCCGGTGCGGGATTAATTACTCGAGGTAGACTTTGCAAAAATTCGTCTGCGAGGGTGCCTCAGTCTCAGCTATTTCACTTGCCAAGCAGCTTGTTTGGTAAGCTGCTTCGGTTGTAGGGAAAGAAGGTAGAAAGACAGTTAAGAGGCATGATATCATAGTTCTCCGGAAAGGGAATGCATGACCGGTATCGCGGCGTCACATGATTGTTATAAAGGTGACGGTTACCACTTACCAGATGGACCGTCATTTTTTTGGCTATTCCTATGATATAAAAAAACCCACAAAAACTCTAAATTCGTACTATTGTACTTTCAATGAAGTATTACTATAAGAAATATCTAGTCAGAAGGCTTTTGCGAAAGAGTATATTTAAGTCTTACGATAAGCTTAAATTTTTAAGTTAAAATTTGTCAATATTAGATATAAATGTAGGTATTAGATGATTTGCACAATTTTTATTAAAGAACAAGAGTTCTCAGAGCTTATTATTAGCAAGGAATAGAGGAAAGAGTATAAAATACTGTCAGCCTCATTTTATCAAAATTAATGTAATTGCTCAACACGTAACGCTCAGTAAAATCGAATGCAATAAAATTTATTTACACAATTACTTATTCAAATATATTATCACAAAATAATTGGAAATATGTGTTCGATTGACACAGAATAAATTATAAACTATATGTCATTAGGTATGAGATAAGGTTGAGATGTTCTGAAATATTTTTAATATAATTGATTTGTCATTGCTGTATATAATTTTGACGAGTTTACCGCTCAGTATTACGACGTACCTATAAAATATCAGATAAGTATTAAAATAAGTGTGGCAATATTTATTAAAAGTATAGTTAGTGAAAACATAAAGCATTATCAGACATCCGTCCAGTATTGTCGTACGCAGTTACTGCGTTTAAAATTTTGCTCAGCACATGGTGTATTAATGAACGAATTTTAGTAGCATTACGTTTTGGATTTTTATTGAATTAAATATTGAGATTGAATTAAGATTGGAGAGTTGTGACTATAGGAAGTGTTTTTGCACAAAATTCGATATACTGTTTCATTTTTATTTATATATTTACTATGAATAAATATATATTTAGTATAATTAACTAAAGTCAAATTACGCGTATTCTTCCGTCCACGAGTGTCTTAAAATATACGTGAATTTAATTAAAAAAATTAACGAATCAATGAAACAGAACTAGAGCTAAATATGACTTATTCTATCATGCTTTCAGGATTTTTAAACATGAGTAGTTTTAGAAACGTATCTAGCCTATGAAAACCTGCAATTGTATAATAAATATGTATTCTGAAATGAAATTATAACGTTCTCAAAATGTGTTGCCAGTCTGCATTTAAATGACAAAAAGTGTAATATTCGGTCTGTTTTAATTAAATGAGGCATTTATATAGGCCTGTGGATATATGTAGACGATTAAAACTAAAAAATATATAAAATGTGTATATTCTTACATTGTATTGCCAGCATATTTTGCTGCAAGTATTTTAATGTAAACACTTATGGTATTTACGCAAACGAAAATTGTGCGTGCGTTATAGATCTTTACTAACATGTAAAAAACTTAGTGTGACTTTCTAATATTCATTAAATATTGATAATTGAGATATTTGACTACAGTGGTCTCGATTGTATTATGGCTCAAATGCGGAAAGCAGAGTTTAATATATTGACAATTTTAAAATGTTTTTTGTTTTAATTTAAATTTGGATATAAGTGGTTTGCAATTATTCAAATTATTTCCATGTGAATAATTCCCGGATCAATAGAATTTTAAATTTCTGTAGTGGCGTAATATTCGTAAAATATTCATAGCGACTAATGCATAATTAATTAGTCCATATCAGTAGGTATCTAACTGTTAGACAATTGAAATGCTAAACATGTCTAGTCATTATAATGTTTGTAATAAATGTGCTAGAATTTAGAATATGCTAAAATTAGGAAATTATTGTATTATTTATTTTCTCTTATTATTTTTTCCCGAAAAATAGTCACTACTATTGAAATTGGAACGGTTGCAATAAAATCAAATTCGAATGTATCGGATAATGCTCGATTAGTATTTATAAATCGATTAGTAATGGCCCAACTATTAAGATAAATAAATAACATTTCAAATCTGTATGTTTACAACACAATTGAAGAAGAAGTCAAATTTGATAATAATATATAACAATTTTCCAATAGTTTAAGTTTCTGATTGTAATACATACTTCGTTATATATGTACCTCTATGTATAGTAGATGATAAAACTTTTTAATGGAATAAATCTATTGAAAAATGCTATATTTGCTTTTAATATATATGGTAACAGACACTGTATGCAATACCTATCTACAATAAACGTTTCAATTAGGAGAAATTTAATTTCTGGCGGCCATTACTATTGTGCTTCATTTTGGCGGGAAATATCTGTGTAGACGTATGAAGTCGTTTGGTAACGAACAGATATTTTTTTCAATAAAAAAATCTTTGTATAGGTCTGTAATAGTATTAGTAGTTAATAATTATATCATATGTATAAGAATTTTCATGAAATGTAGATAATTACATAAAATGGTTGTTTCGGTAACGAGGCTCAAAGTGTCTTGTAAGCAATTTCATGTTTTTAGAAGTGTCCTTACTACTTTCAATAAAGTTTTAAACATAATTGTCTGTTTGATTTATTTAGTACCTATTATTAGTGCTGTAAGGTACTAATTATCTTTTATACAATTATGAAATCGATATTATTCTGACGGTGGTCAAGTAGTTTAGCATATACGAGGAATCGTACCCGCGACCATCGGAAGTAACTTAGATTGTGGAATGAACTACCTGCCGAGGTTTTCTCGAAAGACTACAGTATGGGGTTTTTCAAGAAAGGTATATTAAGATTTCTTAAGGGTTGGCAACGCGCATGTGACACCCCTGGTGTTTCAGACGTCTATAGGGTACGGTAACCGTTTACCATCAGATGGGCCGTATGATTGTTTGCCATCTACGTGGTATAAAAAAAGTAAAGCGGACTTCCGATGGTCACGGATGCCTTTCCTCGCACGATGCTTACATTTGTAATCATGAGTATAATTGTATATTTATAGAATACTTTGAAATTAAATAAGTTAAAACGAAATTTGGAGCATCAGTTAATACCGTAATAGTACGGATACCGTGATGCTGTGACAATCTAGTGACGGTAGTTCAACAAATTGCTGGCACCTACCGACATTGACAGCGCTGTACTCCTCATCGCTCATGGCACCACGTCAAGTGAGAAACACTTTATTTTTCGCGACATAATTCGTGCTAAATCCCGACTAATTATATATATAAAAAGTGGTAATTGTCAAACGAAAAAGGAACAAAAAGAAAATAATCATTGATAGTATTGTTCATAGTTTACGGGTTTTTGTGGTATCGACAAATTAAATAGGTAAGTAATTTATTCATTTAATATAATAAAAAATATTTTAATATTAATACTAGGTACAATAGTACTTATAATGTAAAATTTTGTGTAATGTTGTTTGTCCTCGAAGGAATCCTAAACTACTGAGCCGATTTTGAAGAAAATAGACTTTCATCAAAAAAATGTATATTTGGTACGTCTCAAAAAAGATTGTTATCTACACCCTTAAATTATAAGTTTCTTAGATATTATTTTATGATTAGGCTTTAAAAAAATATTGTATGTCTTTTTAATAGCGATATTAATTTATATGGCAATACAATATTTTCCGAGCGGCTTGTCATACAGGGTAGGGTAGACTGTACTAGACCCCGTGGATGATGATGATGGACCTATCGATTCAAAGCAGCGGTAGGCGGTCCACTCCACGAGTACCAGAATGGCAGCTATTAGGGAGAAATGGCGAACTGTCGTAAGGCGGATAACATCTGCCTCTTATTGCACTAAATAATGCCCACGACCGTTCTGTCAGGAGCGTATCGAATAAAACGATTATTTAATTTTACTAGTAATTTTTATTAAGTATATTTGTTTCTTTATTCAGTTTCACAAACATTTAAGTTTATTCAGACACAATAAAAACAAACATTGTAATCCAACGGGGCACATCGAGGCAGTGTATTCAAGATATTGGCAACGTTGTCTCTTTGAATAGTCCTTTCTACCTTCTGGGTAAAGTATCTGGGAATAGTTTACTAGTAATTATATAAATAGTATTTAATCTACACTTGTAATATTTCTGTCAACACTCGACACCCTTCCATTATTACGTATCCAGATAATATAGAATTAAGTTCAGTGTAAAGTCAGTCCACGTTACGACTCCGTGTCGAATGTACGCGTTACTAATTAGCCCTGTATAACACTATCTAATAAACTTACTAATATAAATAACTCAAAAGTGACTGACGTAGTGACCTATCAACGCACAGCCCAAACCACTGAACGGATCGGGCTGAAATTTGGCATGCATGTAGATGTTATGACGTAGGCATCCGCTAAGAAAGGATTTTGATTAATTCTATCCCCAAAGGGATAAAATAGGGGATTAAAGTTTATATGAAACTTTGTCAATTTTAAACCGATCGAGCTGAGACTTTGCATGCATAAAGCTACTATGATGTAGGCATGTCCTACGAAAGGATTTTGATTAATTCCACGCTATACGGGATAAATTAACGCGAGCGAAGCCGCGGGCAATAGTTAGTGTACATTAAATAGTATAATTATTTCACCGGTATACTAACTACCTAGATATTACATTAAACAATATATTATGTAGCGACACCTCATCACATCATATATTACGCTATATGGAGAGGTGATGAATGAATCACAGCGCAACAGTATCAACCGATCAACATTTCACTGTTATGTGCGGCTCTCTCTCGGATTAACCATGTCAGGGTCACTAGCTAATCCAATTCTTAGGGCTTTAAAAAGTATTGAAAAAGAATTTTATTTGTAAATAATAGCCGTGCCGTATATAATATAGTGTATAAGCTATATTACTGTAGTTTCATTAAAGTGCATGCAGTGGTTTATGCGTGATAGAGTAACAAACATCCATCCATCCTACATCCATACACACAATTTTTTTCATTTATAATATTAGTAAGAAAATACATAATAAAATACCACAGGTAATTCGAGTGATGCCGTTAAATAGATTTAAAAAAGAAACCAATGGCTCGTTAAAAAATGCTGTTACTCTTTGCGGGAATTGACCTGACATCTGATATTATTATTTATAATGTTATTTAATTGTAAAAGTAATTGTTATGAATTGTAATTTGCATGCCCCCTGAATATGAGGCGAACATTTGTAGTATTGTTGTAAATGTTGAAGCAAATAAATTATCTATCTAAGATATATTGATTGAATATTTTATATAACTTAGATAGCCTTCTCAACCGTTTCAAAATCATCAGTTGTTGCAAGTTGATGATTAATATAAAATTAGAGCTATACTAGTACCAATAATATAATAAATATGGAAATATTACATCAACTGACAGCATGTGTCAGAAAAAAGAATACAATACTTATTGTCATGGGCGATATAAATATTACACTTAAAATTTTTAATTTTTAATTTCTTTTGTGACTGTGCGTAGTCCTTAGACGAAAGACCCTATGCAATTGTAGTTATGGTTAATTCGACCATGCATAAGAGAAAAAACTATTCTACATTACCAAGCCTGATATGCTTGGCACGCTAAGTTTTTAATGAAACTATAATTTCTGTTGCACCGATCGTTTCTTTAATTCCGTACCCATACCCATTCAACATATGTATATTTAATATTATTCGTTACTATTTGTACTTCATTTTAAAACTTAAAATTAATAAAGCTTATTCTATTGTACTTGTTTAGGAACTATTGAATTAATAATTATTATTTAGTATCACAATTTGATCATAAATAACACATCTTATGTATGTGTTCATATATAAAATCATATTTAGGACAAACAATATTTCTACATGCTTTTGTACTAATATTTGGTACAATATTTATGTCAAAAAAGACACTGGCCATCATAGCTATGGCTGCATTTATATTACCACTAGGTAAAGTTGGCAACACCGAGCCATCTGCTACAAACAAATTATTCACTCCTATAACCTTAAATGATGTGTCAACCACACTGGTTTTAGCATATGGGAACCCCATAGAACAAGTACCCACTGGATGGTAACTTGTTAAAGTCAACTGTTTTATATAACATTCCCAATAATTATCTGAGAATACTTCATAATCGTTACACCCGGGAAATGGTATTTCATTTATAGACGCTCCAAGGCTCTTCATCGCCTCCGTCTCCAGAAACTCTTTAACCAATTTCAAGCCTTTAATTAACAAAACTCTATCATTTTTATCTGATAAATATTTTGGATCAATCATTGGAGGATTAGTGGGATCTCTACTTTGTATTAAAACCTCTCCTTTGCTCTTTGGATGTAATACTATTGGCAGAATTGTTGCTGAGTGTTTGTCATAGGTTTCTGCAAAATAGTTGGTCCACACTGTAGTGTTAATACCTAAACTATTTCTAAAATGGCTACCTTTGTCTGACGATATTCCAACTGGCAACACCATGAATTGCAAATCAGGACTTTCTCCATTCGTCGCCAGAAAACCAATCACTTCGCAACCTGGCGTCGTAAATGGTCCTTTGCCATTAATAAAGTAATTCGCTGCATGCAGTAAATTCAGCATGTTAATAGTGTTAATGGAAAGCGATTCATTAAATAATATTAAATCTAATCCTGTTGCAACATGGTCCTGTAAATTTTTACCAACAGGTAAATCAGCTATAACTGGAATATCAAATGATTTTAATAAATCGGAAGGACCAATTCCTGAAAGCTGTAGTATTTTGGGTGTGTTATATGTTCCACTTGATAATATTACACCCTTTTTAGCATATACTTCTCTTTTACTGCTGGATTTTAGAAGACTTACTCCATAAGCTATGTTTTCTTTCACCAAAACTTTTTCAACTAAAGCATTTGTTACTACATGTTTTATAATATCTATATTATCAGAGGAAGACCACCTTTTGCCTTGTGTTTGGGAGACTATACTTCTCCTGAAGCCATGTGCGAATTCTGAATGAAGTTCATTATATCCTAATTCTTTTGCAGCATCCAGTACAGCATCTGTCATTTCACTTTGATACTGTATTTCATCTAGGTTCAATATGGTTTCTTCAATAAATTTGAATTGATTTTGGAAAAATGTATGATCATATTCTCTATGAAACCAGTCAACATAATGTGATATATTACCTCTCACATGAACCATGTTGTTAAGTTTTGATGACCCTCCAAATATTTTTCCTTGGAATAACTTACATTTCTGAAAAATATAAAAATTCTAAATTATACCAAATGTTTATGCAGGTATTAACCATTAAATTGGAAGACATATTTTCCTTAAAACTTAATTTAAGGTGTGTGATTTAAATTTTAATAAGCAATGTTCTTCTTAACAGTTAATTTTTCAAAAATTTCATAAAATTGGTTCAACTATTTAGCTGTCATAAACAATCAGATAACATAATAAAATACCTGTAATAAAAATTTGTTAAATGAAACTATAGCTACAGCTAAATTAATTAAAATTGGTATTCATCTTCATTCAAATGAAGATGAATACCAATTTTAATTAATTTCAAAATAGAAATGCTGGAAGAATGATATAGCTATAGTTTAATTTAACAAATTTTTATTATAATACAATTATTTTGGCATGATTGTAGTATAATAGTATTAATAATATTCTTATTGGTAACTCTACTACTAGTCTACTAAATTAATTAAAAATAAACAAAAAAGAGTCTATGTGGACCATATGGATTTATAAGTAAAAACAAACCTTATGATTAAAAGCATAACATGCATTGTCCTGTGGCACAGTCTCATACTGCCAATCATAAATGGATCCATGCAACAGGGGTCCAAGTACAGGTATTTCGAATAATACATTCCCCTTTCCCCCTGCTTCGACTACAATGAAAGTATAATTTGTTTCCGTTGCTAGTCTATGTGCTATCACTGAACCTGCAGTCCCGGAGCCAACTGTGAACAATTTATTATGCATCTAGAATAGCATCACATAGGCATAACCATTCTGGAGAGGTAATATATAATACTTTGATATTGTTCTTATTTTATAATCAACTGAAACACATCTTACAAAGAAAACAGGATGGCAGGTAAAATAAATGTAAATGAGGTATCCACACAAATAAGTTTCTACAAAATCTATCTTGTTGAAATAATAATTAAAGATAGGATGATGCTGTCCTTTCACCTAACTCAAAAGAACATGTACTTTTTTATTTTTTTTTTTATTGGGTTGTTTGGGCTATTGTCAGATGTGTAGCACCTGTAGCACTGCGACCTACATAGATCTATTGTGCTCGCCCTTTTCAGAGTTCGCTACCTAGACCCGTCAGGGACAAGAATTGAAGGATATTCTTAGGAGCGATCGTTTTTATCTCCTCGGGAAAGAGTGTAAACTTTCCAAAGGAGATATTTCGTTTATGCATGAGTGGGCTACAACCACATAGGATGTGAAGCGGCGTTTCCTCTTCAGTTTGGCAGAATCTGCAGATACTTGTCGTGCATAGGCCTAGCTTAGCCATATGCTTGTTCAATTTGCAGTGTCCTGTGAGGGCCCTAGTCATCATGCATATGTTGTTTTTACTCAATTGCAGTAATCTATTGGAGTATTTGGTCGAGAAGCCCGATATAAGGTCTTTTGAATGTATTAATCCTGGCATTTCTTGCCAGTGATTCAGTGCTTCTCGTTTGGTTATTAATTTGAGATGTCCCAGTTTTAGGCAACGAGGCACACCACAGAAGGGTTCGGGGCCCAGTTGGACGGTTTTTGCTCCTAACTTTGCCAGATAGTCGGCATTCTCATTGCCCTCAATATTTGAATGCCCGGGGACCCATCTCAGTATAATATTATTTCTGCTTCCTACTTCATTTAGTAGCAGGATACAGTTTCTAATAAGTTTAGAATGGATTTCGTACGAGTTAAGTGCTAGTAGAGCAGCTTGACTGTCCGAACAAATGTATATGTTCTGATTGATGTAGTTGAGGCTTAGGATTACTTCCAGACATCTAATTAAGGCGTAAGTCTCTGCCTGAAAGATTGAGGCGTATTTTCCTAAGCCTATATAGTTGCAGATTTTGGGTTTTACACCACATATTCCACATCCTACATCATCTCCTATTTTGGACCCGTCGGTAAACCAGACTAGGTCATGCTCTGAGTGAGACGGTGTATGGTTATTTTGCCATTCGTCTCTTCCAGATATTTCGATTTTGTAATATTGTACAAAGTTACACTCTGGTGCCATGTTGTCTTCAGGCATTCCCAGAATAGGATCACTCATAATCGAGTCTTCGAGTCGAGTCTCGAACATGTACTTACTTATATTAAGAAGCATGAACCATGAATGTTTTAGAGCAAATACTATGGTCATAGGTTGAAGGGAAGTGATAATGAAGATAACTTTTCCTATCTAGTAATATCTGATCTTTTCTTTTTATATACATAATAGAGTATCAGATCGCCTATTGACGATAATTACTGAATATTTTCTTTGCTGATAAATTTACCATGAAAAACTTTCCTTGATAAACTTGTTACGATCCTTCTTCTACTTTTATCTATTCTATCCTTCTACTTCTTTTATATATTTTTTTTTAATTATTATGAATTGTTTTTGATACAATTATGGTCTAGTTATTATAAAAAGTAATTAGTCCATCAAAAACAATTAATGTAGTGTGATAATGTTTGTGTAGATTAAAATTGTTAAGAAGATTGTATTGAAATGTCTTCACAAACTTGATTTTATAAAATTCATGATTAGTAAAATTTGCTACTCTATAGAATAAAAATGTAAGCAGTAATAGTACAGGACAACAATAGTAATTATTAACATAATATTTACCTATAATAAAGTCATACTCAGACTTAATGTCCTGAGAAAAGGTAGACCAGAAAACATCAGTGTAGTAAACGATGTAAATATATACAGTAAACGATTTAATGCATATACTTATGATAATAAACTGTAAATAATGTAGCACCATCATTTTTGTTCAGTTATACATAACACTAATTATTTTACACAAATAAAAATTGTAATATGAAAGTTCCATATTTTTAGGTTATGTTTACAATTTGTTACTTTTTTTTTATTATGGCGACATCTTGAGTGAAGTAAAGAATCTGTTTTCATACAGCTATGTAATATTATGTTATCTGTGATACAGCTATTTTTACAGAGGTCATAAAACATTTTTATGATTATTTTACAATCCAATCAATAAAGGTTTATTCCTGTGTTCTTTCTATTTATGCAATTGGTTATATCATATTTTTATATTGTTAAATGTAATGCGATTTTTGTATTAACTTTATGGTTTAAATTATTTGATACATGTGTCTAAATAAAACTGCATAAATTAGGTAAATCATTTTATTGAATTTTATCTTGAACAAAATTATAGACAACATACATTGTATAAAGAAAATAATCGTGATAATTTCCTGTATTTGCAGGTGTATATTTGAAACTAATTTAATAAATAAATACTGTTCATACATGCAATATTTGCGGTTCTAATTTGAGTCTGTCGATAGTCTCTTGAGGCATACAATACGTTGGATTCACTAGTTTGATTCTACTATTCCCTAGTAGAGAAAGTCCTGCTAAACCGAAAAGTGTGTGGAATGGATCTGGGATGTCGCCAGGTCGGTCGCTGAAGCCGCCTGTCTCAGCATCTTGGCACGCTAGGATGAACTCTTCTAAGCTCTTTTTGTCTACCCAATGTATCCTATTGAGCATTGAGAGAGAAGACATAACCCACCTGGAAGGTGAAAAATATTAGTTATTTTCATACACCATTACCACCCCTTTTCATCCCTGGGATGTCACAAGAGTTGACTTCAGGAATAAAGCACAAATTTGAAGATACAAGGTTTGACATATTCTGTTGTTCAGAGGCGAAACATGAGTTGCAATATGGCTATAGACCCAATAACGCCAATAGAGAAGGTTGTGATGCTTTCAGTAGCGGTGGTCAGGTTTCCGCCCTGAATATTTGTGGTCTCACACATGCTAATAGTATCGGAATAACATAAAATAATATAAATCTATTAAGTACTAAAATTTTACATCAAGTTGCCTAAAACGAATAAAGATATTTCGATTTGTGATAATCTGCACAAATCGAAATATCTTTATTCGTGTAGGCCTATTATTATAGACACTTGTAAGAAAAAATTATGGCTAAATAAGAATTCGTATTTGTATATCGTAAATAAGTGTTCGTATCAAACAGGACAAGCTCTTATTATTTTCATATGATATATATATCATAATTCCATGCAAAATATAGTTGAGAATGCCACATGCAATTAAGCTGGTAAAGTGTACATTTATTTTAAATAGTGCAATATAGACTGAATATAATAATAAAATATTAACCATGAGTAACAAAGATCTGGCAGTTTCTCGGGTCTGCCATTGAGTCCACCACTGGGCAGTTGTCGTTCGCACAGCCACCACGCCAGTTCATCAGCATGAAGCATATCCATTCTCTTGCAAATTGATAATGTCCCCACGCAGCAGTATATCAGTCCTGAATCAATTATGCATTTCTTTAAATAATAATATATCAACATATATGGAGGCAATAGCCCACAAATGTCAATAATAATAATATCACTATCATACATACCATCCAGTTCCAATTTAAAAAGAACTTGTGTTATGAGTAGGTACTAGACACCTGGTAGAAATACTCAGATATATTGTTTTGCAAATACATACATATTACGAGTATACATGAAACAAACCATCATCTCAACTCATGAATACAATTTTGTGTACTGTGCGAGCAATCGAACCCGCTACCATTTGAAGCAAGTGCTAAACCGAACTAAACTAAATATGGCAATAAAATTATACATAACTTTTTTAAGAAGCATCTCAAATTGAATTAGATCAGAGATGTAAAGGGTAAGCTTTTGGCCAGCAGTAAGACAAATTTTCTTTTTCATAGTAACCCTGTTAATATAATATTACCTGCATGACTTTCTGATCCTGGTCTAGATCCAAAGCCACCATCAAAATTCATACAACTGAGTACAAAATCAACAGCTTTATTTACATTAATGGCTTCCAGTCTTTGCAGTAAAGAGAGACACATCACAGCACAGAAGGAGAAACGAGTGTCCACCTCTCCCCATTTATCACCTGTTTTAGAGAAACAATATTGTATAGTAATTAAAAAAAAAAAACTTGTAGTCAAGTAGCAAAGTGTCCTATATGAACAAACACTTAACTTTTATTACATTCTGTACATTCTGGGTATGTAAGATAAATATACTGATACCCAGATATAATATGGTAAGGTAAAAGGTAGCCTTAATGAAAAAGTATTATATTTTTATCATAATTAAAAAAAACATAGAATACCGAAAAAGCTGCCATCCTCTTGTTGTAGGGATGTCACAAATCTAACAATCCCGTCCACATCCACTGCATCCATTCTGTCATACATTGCCAACACCTATAACAAGTAATTCATATTGTATCATTGGATGCAATAATTTACCTGTGTTTAATGCAGACTGTTTTTTTTATTGGATGAAAATGGAATGTTGTTCCCCCCTGTGCTAACGGTTTTTGCTGGTGGGGCTCCAATGGAGAATGATAGGGTGAGCCTGACCTCATGTTAGGTCAGGTCAGTTAGCTCACCATGACAAATTCACCAGGAATTTATCACTATGATTTCCAGGGGGTACCGCATGGAGGTCAACCTGACATGGTACATTTCTAGCAATAGGGTCACATCATTTCTAACAATCACCATTCCCTTGGAGGCTGTTTAGGCATCAGCATCTGTTACAAGTTTCAAATATGCCACATTTTTTTATCTTTACTTTTTATGGTAATATTATTATTTAAGCTGTTTTTCCACATAAATACAATTTAAAATTTATATTTCAGATTAATTTGGTTTCTTCATATATGATCCCCATGTTGGTAAAAGCCTTATGGTAGTCTAAGCTAATTTAAAATATCTTATTAATATTATAAACACAAATGTTTGTGAGTATGGTCCATCCATACACTTTTACACAAAAAGTAATATAGCTTATAAATCAGAATAACATATAGGCTTAAGTTTCATGCAGGTGAAACCACAAGCACAGCTAGTGTATAACAAATTATAAAACCTAATAAAGCAGTTTTTAATTGATTATGGTAGTATCTGTATTATATCTGAATACATACAACAGCAGTTCTGGTAACAATATAAAATTGTATTATAAGTAGCAAAGAGCCTAATGGGTTAAACCCAGAAAAAAATATTTGTTATATAAATATTTCTACCTGCACAGCACTCAAAGTGTACAGCATGTGTGGATCATGTCCTATACTAGCTGATATACCCCCACTTTCCTTGTCTTGACAGGATGTAATGAATTCTATTATATCATCTTTTGGCATTCTGTAACAATAATGTTAAATTTAATATCAATTGAGGAAACATTCAGCCTAACAGATGGTTATGATGATGATGATGATGATGATGATGATGAATATTGAATAAATAGTTTTAAATTTTGATATGGATCACAGGATGATATACTGCGCCAACCTCAAATCTTAATATGTGAAATAAATGTGAAAGTTTGTGACTATGGATGGATAGATGGATGGATGTTTGTTACTCTTTCTTGCAAAAACTACTGAGAGGATTTTAATGAAACTTTACAGTAATATAGCTCATACATCAGAATGGCTAGCTAATCACAGCTAGTATTGGTATAAAGTTTATGATGATAGTTTTAATTATAATACTTATAAAAGTTATACATTATATTTGGTAAGGATAATAAATTTTGTTTTATACTAGATTTTAGTAGAAAGAGCAAAGGAGTTAATGGTATTGATAATGACATCAATCAAAAATAAAATAATTAAACATACAGATTGAAACATTTGTGACGAGGGAAAATTGTATGATATGAAATGATCGGAAAATTTCATGTCATTGTCGGTTCAACGACAGACTCATGCTCTCGCTCTTTCACTTGATTAGTTAATTTACCAGTTGAATACTTCCAACTCGAGTTGACAGAATTTAATGCGAGATAACTCGAATTCTCTGCAACTCTAGTTATCTCGAGTTGACACATCTCTAGTACATGTTCATTTACTTCATTTCATGTTTATCTACTTTGTATGGTATGTTGTATTCTGGTTCCACATATAACCTCTCGTTTGGGCCGTATGCTAAAATACTTATTTTAGTGGTACATCGACCTGCACTATTGGGTTAGGTCAGCGACAGTGAAGAATACAAAATTAGGTCAATTAGGCCATCATGGTGAATTCACCGGGAAATAACCATGATGGTTTCCAGAGAAAAATGTGTGAAGGTCGACCAGATAGAGATTAGCAATTGGGCCACCAATCTCCATAACGAACAATTATTAATTTGGTTTCGTGCCTACCTGGAGGATTGTCCCATAAGTTCCATAGCTGTTAGACTCCAGTAAATTCCTGACATCCGTAAGTACTCCGTCATACAGAACTCGAAGTCATCTTTGTTTAGTCCATATCCCGCTAGATAGTCTGAATGCTTTTGTAAAAGCAGGGTTTTTGGTCTGTCCTCTTTGAGGATCACGTCTTTGGTATTAAAAGACATCTAATATGTTTATAGTTAACTGTATAGAAAAAAATTCAATCAATGAATTTGAAGTTTACTTAAGAATGAGACATACTTTTAGCTTAAATATCTCTTAAAAAATTAAGGAATATGCATATTAAAATGACAAACTAATAAATCGAATTTGACAATATGAATTGAAAACAATGAATATTTGTGTTAGTTGATTGACACTGATTGTTATAGGTTAGTAGGCTGTCATTATTCTCTCTAACATATTTGACGAAAAAGCGCGGGAAACGTTCGAAACGCCGGGAGTGTTTTTTGGATTTCTTTTTGTTTAATTTAATTTTACTATATATAAGGATTAGTTTTATTTATATATTGTAGACTAGATTAATTGTTTAATTATATATTTATTAATAGTAGTAGCAGTTGCTGCAAATATTGGTAAGTAACTTTAATATATAATATTTATTGAGAATGGACCCGCCTATAGACCCTGGGGGAACAGTCCCCCAGGTGTCTGCAAATATAAGTATTCCATTTAACAATTCTTTTGATATTTTATGTGAATCTAGTATGGATACTGATGGGTCTAATATTACAACCACAAAACGTAAGCGAGTAAGGGGCGAACGCCGCATTTGCAAACACTGCAATAAAAAGCGTAGGAGACATCAAAAAGGTACCGAGACAAAATTAAAAGACAGTGACTGTCAATGTGTCGAAGAGGAAAAAAATAATTTAGAAATAATACCTGTAATTGACAATCAAAATTCAGATGTAATACCAGTAGTTGAAAATAATAATACATCCAAAAAAGCCACTCCTTCACCCACTTCTGTAAATAGGACTTTGTACAATACTGAAGATGTAGCACCTTTTGTAGTTCATGTTAAAAAAAATGAAACAAATCCTACAGATAATGTAACATTACACCCCATCGCATTTGGTCGGTTTTTACATACAAATAAGATTTATAATGTTGTGAATGGCAGCCTCAAAAGAATAGGAAGAAACAGATTGGCTCTTGCTTTTTCAAACTTTTTAGATGCTAACTCTTTTTTAAACCACAGTAGTTTAATTGCCTATAATTATAATGCATTTATTCCTTCTTTTAATGTGACCCGCATGGGTATTGTAAGAGGTATTCCTAAAGACTGGACAGATGATGAAGTAATTAGCAATATTTCAGTACCTATAGGTTGTGGAAAAATTTTAAAAATACGTAGAATAAAAAAAAAGACTATAAATGAGGGAGAAACGAACTTTATTAACACTGAAACAGTTGTTATAACATTTGATGGGCAAATTTTGCCAAAAAGAGTATTTATGTTTTATACATCATTAACTGTAGATCTATACATTTATCCAACCATACAGTGCTACAATTGTTGTAGATTTGGACATGTTAAGATGCAGTGTCGTTCAAATCCAAGGTGTTATAAATGCAAACAAAGTCATACTGGTGATAAATGTGAAGCAGATGAAGACAGAATATGCTGTATTCTATGTAATGGTTCTCATTTCGCTATTAGTAAGAAGTGTCCTGAATATTCCCGCCAAAAAGCTATTAAAGAAACCATGGCTCACAGCTGTGTTTCATATGCTGAAGCTATGAAATTTCATCCTCCAACCAGTAAATTATACTCAGATGTATTAACATCGCCACCACCTTCATCTATTAAACCACATATCCAATCTTCTCCACAAAAAGACAAATCAGGCCATATTCAATCTTCTTATAAAAAAACTGTTACACTTAAACCACGTTCTCCACAGAAACCACAACGAGGATATGATCGTTCTGCTCATGAGGCCTTAATTAATGAATATAATATTCCTGCGCCCTCAAATGGCTGTGCACTAAGTAATAATAATAATACTAATAATCAATCTGTTGCTGATATTATATTTATGTTAATTAAATTCTTGACGCAATCTAATATGACACAAACCAATTTTTCACCGTCCAACGCTGCCAACCTGAATGTTATATCTCAAATTTTATCAACTCACAATGGACAACAAAGCCCACATTATTCAGTGGAACTGTCGTAGCATAACAAATAAGAAATCTGATCTATTTTATTTGATAAACAATTTCTCCCCTTTCATTATAGCTCTTCAAGAGACATGGTTAAAACCTGGATATTCATTTAAGATTCCAGGTTACTCATGTTTTCGTGATGATAGAGCTGACGGATATGGCGGTGTTGCCATATTGGTCAAAAACTCCCTTTCATATTTATTATTTTCCCTTCCTTCATTTAATGGAATTAATGCTATTGCATTAATAGTAAATAGTATTTGTTTTGTTAGTTTATATATTCCTACCCCCTCTTCTCAATTATATTCAGAATTAGAAAAAATTATATCTATTTTACCTAAACCTTTTCTTATTATGGGTGATTTTAATGCCCAACATCAATCGTGGGGCAGTACCACCTCTAATTATTACGGTGAGAAAATTATAAGTATAATCGACAGTCATAACTTATGTATAGTTAACTCGGGTGTACCAACACGTAGAACTGGCCCAAATGAAGGTGTTAGCGTCCCTGATATTTCTCTGTGTTCTTCTGATTTAGCTTCTTCGTTTTCGTGGTCTCCTCACTACTCGTCATTCGGAAGTGATCACTTTCCCCTTATTTTATCTTTACCTCATTCCATTCCTCCAATTCGGAAAACCGGTCCTCGTCTTAAATATAACTTAATGAATGCAGATTGGGTGACGTTTAAACAATATGTAGGCAATAGGATTTCAAAACTACCTCCTGTTTATTACGGAAATGAGCACCAATGTTCGAATAGTTTAGTAATGGTTATGAAGGAAGTTGCTGATATGCTATTTCCTATAAAAAATAGTGCTTCAGGAAAAATTCCATCCCCTCCTTGGTGGGATAAAGAATGTACAGACGTCATTAAACAGCGTAAAGAAGCTGAAAAGAATTATAACAAGTATATGACATCAGAAAACTATGAAATTTATTGTGAAATATCTCGTTCCACCCGGAAACTACTAAAAAAGAAGAAGTTGGAAGGTTGGAGAAAGTTTTGTTCCTCAATCTGTCCCGAAGTTAACCTCTCTGTCGTTTGGAATAATATTAAAAGATTTAGATCTGTATATACCGGACACACATCGCTTTCCATAATGGATTCAAAATTAGCAGACGAATTTTTAGACCGCCTTGCACCTAGTTACGTTCCAGAATATCATAATCAGCTTTCTCCACCAACCCAATTATCGAAACTCGATTCCCCTTTTAGTCTTATTGAATTTAAAGGGGTATTATCACATATTAAAGATTCTGCACCGGGAGAGGACGGTATACCGTACTCATTTTTTAAAAATTCTAATGATACAACACTAGATTACTTTTTAGATTTAATTAATTCAGTAATGATATCCGGTAAGATACCTCCGTCATGGAAATCACAAATTATTATACCTTTTCTGAAACCTAATAAACCACCTTCGGAGCCCTCTTCTTATCGCCCTATAGCACTTTCATCGGTATTACTGAAATTGGCTGAACACTTGGTGAAAAATCGTCTGGAGTGGTTTGTAGAAAGTAATAACTTACTTTCACCAAACCAGTTTGGATTTAGGAAGGGTAGAGGTACGTTAGATAACGTTAGTATTTTAACCTCAGATATTCACATAGCATTTTCGCAAAATGTGTCGATTTTATCAGCTTTCTTGGATATTAGTTCTGCCTATGACAACGTCCTAATTACAATTCTTAGAACTAAATTGATAGCCTTGAATATTCCATTTATGCTTGCTAATTTTATTATTAATATTTTGTCAGAGAGAACAATAAAATTGGATTTAGGTGATGATAACAAACTATCCAGATCAGTATGGAAAGGTCTGCCTCAGGGATCAGTACTTAGTCCAATTTTATTTAATATATATACATATGACCTTGAAACATCTCTTAGCAAATCCGTTAAAGTATTGCAATACGCGGATGACCTATTAATTTATTTAATAGATCATTCAATTCAATCTGCCTGTCAAAAATTGTCTGATAATCTTGACTTGTTGAAATTATGGTTAGACGCAAATGGTCTCGAACTTTCTGTATCGAAAAGTAGTGTAGTACTATTTACAAGAATGCGATCACCACCGCAAGTGAAGGTTTTCTATGATAGTTGTTACATCCCGGTTAAAACAGAGATTAAATTTTTAGGCATCGTCTTAGATAATAAATTAACTGGTTTATCCCACTGTAATTATATTTCTGCTAAATGCGAACGAAATCTAAATATTCTTAGATGTCTAGCATGGTGGGGAGCACATCCGTATTCTTTAAAACTAGCGTATAATGGCCTTATAAGGAGCGTCCTTGATTATGGAACTTTTTTGTTAGCGCCGGGAAGTTCTTTTGCCTTTAAGAAACTGGACCTAATACAATCCAAAGCTTTGAGAATTATATCCGGAGCAATGAAATCAAGCCCAATCAATGCTTTACAGGTTGAAATTGTAGATCCACCTCTAGATTTAAGAAGACAATATCTAGCTGATCGTTTTCATGTTCGCTGCTTACAGTTGTCTAACCATCCACTTATCTTAAAACTTCCACAAATACATCAGTATGTTACCTCATCTTCTTATTGGATACACAAAAAACCTCCATGTTTAATAAAAAGCTTTGAAAAATATAAAGGAATATCTGCACCAATGTTTACTTCCTCTTGTTCTCCAGTCTATAAATACTCATATGAATCTCTGAATTTATGCCCTAACATTTATTATGACATAGGAATTTACAAAAATGATACGGAACAGGCAGCTAAATTCAAATTTATAATAGACACACAATGGAATGGATGGCATTGCATTTTCACAGACGCCTCAAAATCAAATAATTGTAGTTGTGTAGGTGTTGGTGTATTTCACGTGCAGTATAATATCGTTCAAAAAATTAAACTTCCACCAGAGTCATCAGTGTTTACTGGGGAATGTATGGGTATTTTAAAAGCAATAGAATATGTACATATAATGAAATTACAAAAAGCAATCATTTTTACTGACTCAATGTCTTCACTACAAGCGTTAGACAAATATCCTTTAAAA